CGTTTTGTGATTGTGCCTGTCCCAAGGAAGTTTTGCCAGCCATACCCTAGTACTCAGTGATCAGTTTCCTGCAATTGGCTTGAGGCTTCGCGAAACAGAGTGTCCATAGCCCCAGTGAAGAGATACTGGAATGCAGTCTACAATATCATATGTGAATAACGTTCTTCTTTCTCCATCTGCTGCACCAAATCTGCTATATTTCGCCAACTTTAGTTGGGGTTCATCTAATAGCAGTGTTGGTTAGAATTCACCTGATTTCGATAGAAGTTCCAGACTGATATTTCATCGGTAACGTAACTGTTCAGTAACCAGACAGTCTCCAAATGATCTGTAGCCTAGTTACAAGTGTGTACTGACGAAAAGTGAGTCCCAAGCTGAGGCAAAGGAACTCTGCCAAGTACTTCGTTATTTCCAACAGTTCCTCCAGATGATGTTGATTTCTAACAAAATCGGCTTTCCGGTTAAACGAACCCGTAAACCTAAAATTTACTAGGAGAGTGGTCACTAAACTTTCTAAAGTCGTAATCCCAAACCATCTATTAAAATGCACGCCTTTGCTACTGGGATAGGCTACACAACATTTTTAATTTATGCTAAGTGGTTTAGGGACATCAGCAGGAGGCTGTGGACGAAAATTTCATGCTTATTGTCGCTCTTCAGCAAGCATCGCCTGCAACCTTGATGGAGCTAAAGCTGCTTGTAGGTTGGAAACCACTCCACTTAACACTGCATTTGGAGACGTTAACACTAAGTGGTGATTTGGTGATACTGTATCCACAGTGGCGGGGAATTATATAAATCCACAGTTCCCGTTGTGTGTACTCAGTGGAGGTAGGAGTCAACGAAGTAATGTATTTAAGAACACAATTACTTCTCATGGTTATGGCGACACTTTGCGGAATATGTCAAAATCGTAGAATAATCAAACCCCACACGAAATGAGATTAACTAAATCCGAACAGCAAACAAGTATTTTATTTTATTTTACTTATTTATTTTGACTTACAGCTTGATTCCACACCGTATTTTCAGTACAAGTGTGGAATTTTCAGCATGGATATCGGTAGCCCAAATTCAGGCCGACCATAGATATCGGGTAAGCGCCGGCAGGGGATCGAACCCCGGACCATGTGCATGGTCGGCGAGAGTCCTAACCACTGTGCCACCGACGCACAAAGTAGTAGTACACATCTAGGTATTCATCCATATGTTGACAAATCCAAATCACTACCTATACAGCGCCAATAAACCTAGACATCTAAAAGTAATGAAAATATGCTGACAGTTGCATTTCGAACCCCACTGACTCATTAGGTAGTAATTCTCTGTTCCTGCATGCTTCATTCGACATTTTTGCATGAATTGATTCGCAGTCATTCTGGTTCCGAAAAGAATCAAAAATCTATTGGTTACTGATTCCTTAATACTTCTCTGCATGTTTAACTGGATAGTAACTGCTGTGGTGAGGCTCTTGCAGACTATACTGCTGAAAACCTTGTTGTCGGTAAACTGACAAACGTTTTACTTTTGTGAATCTCCCACCAAATCGACCATATGTAACTCATCCTTCAAATGTTGCGCGCGTTTCCGATAAATTCAAACAATAATGGTGCCTAGGATTATATCATGTAAATTGTTTTAACTTATGTAAAGTGTGCTTACTGTCATTATTCCATTATATATCTCTATATTTCTTGATGTGGTCCGCTGAATCACTAGTTATCAGATTTTTCCCCAAAACTGAATACAAAAAGACAGCAACCATGTAATTTCACCATAAACAAATTAATGTAATTTAAATAATACTTATCCATGCCTGTACAACTGGCGTGTCCTACATTGGTTGGAACAAATATGTACCTTATTATATTATCATTGCTAAATATGCTTACTAATCGTATATGTAATTTATCATATCGATGATTCCTGTTAACTGACATCCCTTATGTACAAAAATGAAAATATATTATTATTATTTCTATAACAGCTAACTCACAAAACTTTCCGACTTCATTTATATGATTACGCTACTTTTCATCTCTTGATTTGATTGGTAGTAATCTTTTCCATATTTCGGGTGTTAGGGATAGTCCGTCCAAATTGTAAGTGTTATTTTTGGAGGAACTAATGTTGATAACATAAATAAAAAAGATTATATGGCGTCTACAGTTTTGCCGTATGAGGAAGGGTTACCTGGGATGAAGCAGGAATCAGGCTGGTACTCAAATGCCTACGAAAACTCACTCAGCGAAAAGCTATGTGGGTTAGAAAACCTTCCTGATCCAGTTAGACAGAGTAATATAATTTAAAATAACCTTGTAATGACTGTGAGCGAAATCAAACTAGTAGATCAGCAGTAGTGAGATTACCAGAATATAGGAATTTATCGAAGATTAGAATGATTGATCCTTCGAAGATAAGCAATTTAGAAAAAACTCGGCAGTTGCACTGCATGTATTAGCACATAGCCACACACTAGGGTGGGAGAGGGTTGAACCTCTGAGAAGAAATATAGGTGGGTGGAGAGAAATGTTAATTACTGATTCCTTGTTCATCGAGTCTACGGCAAAGTTAAACTTTCGACACCAATAACAACCAATCAGCAAACGACCTTGAACGGACCAATCACATGAAAGAGACGTTTATGATAAGCAGAAACGTATATTTATAGAAAAATGCATAAAAAAATGATAAAACGGTTACAGTGGGTATGTTTCTCGAACATGGGCGAGAGAAATTTCCCAATTCATCATGGCACTGTCAATAGAGATGTCGCACCACATTCTATACATATGTTCATCTAAATGACTATAAATGAGATCCTTTTGAGATCCCTTAATAGCCCTTATTCTATCTTTCAATCGACCCCAAAATCCTTCAATGGAATTTGTATGAGTCCCTATAACTGGGTCCACGAAATCACTGGAGGGGTTCACTCTGTGATGAATGTATCCCAGAGATGACAATGAATCATAGCCTTTCCACTCGTTGGTATGTACAATTGATCCCGGTTTCACAAGTCGCTTTATAATAGGTACCAGAGTAGTCGCCTTCCTGTCTGCTATTCCTTCAACAAATCCTTTTCGGAGGGACGTGTCGCATAGACCTATGACCCAAATGTTGTTCGCTCTCTGACGACAGCTGTTATATTTCTTCTTCACCAACACTGTCTCATCCACATAGACTACTACGTCGTCCCTGCCTAACGACGAAGTAATTCTGTCCATTTTCCATGAGGCGATGGTACACCAGTGAACTGTTGAGACGAGGCTGTTCTCCGTCTCGGCAGTAGCAGCTCTCACGGGTTGTTTCAGTACCCCGTAACTGCAAATGTACAAAATCTGGTTTGGGGAGAGATGCGACACAGAAAAAAAATTCCTACGAAATATTACTCTCTAATACTGACTCGCTTCCAGCATATTCCACAACGATGTACAAAACCATCAGTTGACCTAGTATAGCTTTTTAGAGTCATTACACCACCACACGAACAACTTCTCTCTTTTAGAAGCAAGCCTAAGTCCAGGCAATACTGAAAGATACTAACCTCCTCGAATTGCAAACGTAACCTTGTAAGGGCACGCATTAAAATGAATCAAGCGCTATACAACACTGAACTGCGTTCGTGAATCTCATTGGATAATTCGACTTCGTTCGCTGATTGGTAGTTATTGGTGTCTAAAGTTTAACTTGGCCGAGTCTACTCTCAAAAAGTGCAATAGGAATGACTTATCATTAATATCCGAAATATGGAAAATATCACTTCCAATCAAATCAAGAGATGGAAAGTAGTGTAACCATATAAACGAAGTCGGAAAGTTGTGTGGGTAAGCTGTTATGATTGTGCACAATAAATTGTGCTCGAAACGTCATCATTAAATATTACTGTATAAAACTGTGAGACTTAATCAAAACATTTACCCATAATGAACTTAGACTCTGCCACCACAGTGTAAAGGGCTATTCTTATATTAATTTTTATTCAATTCCTTAAGTACTAAGGTGTGAGTTGAGTTCAGTGGACTTTGGCTTTAAACCGGGTCCCTCAGAAAGTAATGTCTGCTCGGTCAATCAACTTATGCAAGGCTGGGATGGATAAGCAAATATTCTGGATATAAATAGATTCAGACAGATTCGAAGCCTTCTCTCTTCATCCGAAAAATCGGAACTTTCACGGATATTGAATACTTGATTACAGTAAGATGTCTCGTCATGAAGAACGTGTGGGCTTCCTCGTGGGCATCCACCAAAGATCACTCACCATAGGGCGAAAACTCGAGCGCGCTCGCATTTCTTTTCACTGCGAATTTGCCATCCTTGGAACAATCAACCGGCAGGTGTAGCTACGGTACCGTCCTCGGACAGCTTTAAGCGAAGGCTGAACAATCATGCAGCAACACAGGGACTGATGGCCCATCTAACTAGAACTCACATACTATCAATTGGTAGACGCCAAAACCCATCGTTATACCTCTTCACATTCTCTCGTGTCATACTTTCCTGACTACTTCCACTATTACGCCACTGATACTTATTATTGATAAGTGTATATGTATGCATATATACACACCAGATATACATGCATCAATTTCAAATTTCACTAACTGTCTGTCTTAATGTTTTCTTTCTTTCTCTTTTTTTAAGTCTACATAACCTACACTAATTATATCTGTTATTGTTGCCTCTTTTCTTTTGTCCAAGACGTCGGAAGACTATAGGGTGAAAGGATAAATTCCATTCGCAGTAGCAATACGGTCTTGACTTACCGCATACTACAAACTACATATAATTAATCCCAGCACCACTCCTTTTGGAGTGAACTAAAGCTACGATAGATGAGTGGTCGGACGAGTTATTAAGTAGTTTTCCTAAGAACAGGAACCTTTAACCCACAATCGAAAAGCGAGCACAAAGAAATCAAATCGGTTTTAGGACTACCTCGTTTAAACGATATTTGCTATTGGAAGGTTACATGAAGGTCACGTCACAAACAGTGCCTATTTCGAAATCCCCGGAAGTAAGTATTTTTTGGATTTCCACATTTCGCAGGCTTAAAGACACTGTTATTGCAACTAAATAACATGAATATAGAAAATTCGTCCTTATAAATCAGTTTTTTTATATACTACACTGAATCCTAATAAATGCTCATGAAGTGTTGCGCGCTCCTTGAATACGACGTGCATTTTTCCGTCTAACAGGAAATATCCACTTTTGTGAATAATTCGTTTGGGAAACCTGATCTTCCTATCCGGCGAATTTTATTCAACCATTTCTTCTTCACCGAGCCTGTGTTTAGTACTTCCCACTGTCTCGAACTACTGCCCAAGCTTCAGGTGCTACTTCTGTAGCAACATCCCCCTCACTCTTTCAAATATACAGGACTTGGTGGTCTGTTACGTGATTGTTGTGAAGCCGAATAACCCGAAAGTTACAGGTAAAGTCAAAAGCTTTTACTTATATACTTTATCTTTCCGTTCTGTGCTTTCTACTGTCTTTTGCTGTCAGTCTATTGGACAAAACTCCACTCTCTCTTATCATTTAATCATCGGTATTATTTTAGGAGTAAAATGACTATAGATTCTCATCCCAAGATAAGTAATGGGAGACCATGCACCATAGTCACCAGAGCTTCAGCCAAACTAAGCAAACAGGTGAATAGTATGACACCTATATCCACAGTAGGCCTTGAAACAAACAGGAAGGCCAATAAGAAACGTTCACGACGTCGCAAGACGACTACAACGTTCCCCAAGAAGGCAGACGATTGCAAGGTCTGCAATTCTATTGTCGAACAAGCAGATTCTGCTTTCGAATGTAACTTTTGTAAGCAATGGGTACATTGTAGATGTGACACCGGGGTACCAAAGGTATATTACGATTTTATGCGTAAGAACCCATGCCCATGGTTCTGGTACATTTGCCCAAGTTGCCGTCCTAATGCAGCCTCGTGTAGTTCCTCGAAAGCTACAGATGTCATAGAGATATCAGGAAAAAACGTGAAACGTTTCACTCCCACCAACTCAGAAAACAGCACAATTGCATGTAAATCGGGGATACCAAAATCCACACCGGTTATACTTGCAATTCCTGCCATAACCGCCCCAGACACAGAGGTTGAAGCACCAAGGGTACCTGTCGCCGGGAAAAGACCCTTACCGTCCACCAGTAAAAGTGGCCACAGCACTGCGACACATAATAATACCCAGTTGCACCAGATGAAACAAAACGGTCTTAAGGGGGATGACAAATGTGCGAGGACCGAACCTAAATCCACGGTCAGTCGATCAAACTGCGTTATCCTCTTTAATGTACCAGACTGTAGCAGTAGTCTGCTGGAAAACAGGGCCCTGTTTGATCAGGAACAGTGGTCCAACTTATGTAGCACACTGGGTCTGGACATCCAACCAGTAAAACTGTGCAGATTGTATAAGGGCACTGCTGCTCCTCAAGGCAAACCATCCCCACTGAGGGTAACACTAGGCTCTGCCGAAGATGCCGAAAAAGTTTTATTGACTTCCCAAGTCCTTTCTATAGGGAGGACCTGCAATATACGTGTTAGGCCAGATAGGCCATGGAAGGAAAGACAGATGGCGAGGGAGTCGCCAGAGCTTATTCCTTCTGCCTCCATGGTTGTTCACGGCATTCCTGAACTGGAAACTGGGAACGCTTGTGAGAAGCACTGTCACGATGTCCAGCAATGGAGATGGTTGGCATCCCAGATGGGTCTGGGAAGTTCAGGGGCTGTCTCTATTTTTAGACTGCCTCGACCCACTCACCTAATGTCAATTAACACCCCACATCTGTTAGCTGTTAAGTTTAGCTCCCGAGACCACTTGACTACTGCTCTCCAGAGATGGTACGAGACCAAAGACAAGGTCAGCAGACACATTCGCTGCTGCGAGAGCCGGCCTCGTACCCAAAGGAGAGAGCAAAACGTTGTCATAGAACATCCCCAACCCCTAGTCACAATACAGCGGTGCAGCACGGACGATGATAGCCAGTGCCATCCAAGTGCTCCGATTGAATCAGAAGAAAAAAACTCCAACAGGCCGGTTCCCGGGGAATCGGCCAACTAGTTCGTAGGATAACTCCTCAACCGACAGCCCACATCACGTCAACCACCCCCCAATACGGGGACGTGGTGAGATTGACTACCAGTTGCCTGTACAGTAATGTGAGAGGTCTAAGAGGCAAAATAGCTGAACTTAGATACCTACAATCACAGCTGAACTCCAAAATCATAATACTGACGGAAACCTGGCTAACCCCTACGGTGGCAGACAGCGAAGTCAGTATAAATGATATGGTCCTTGTCAGGCGAGATAGGGATCTGAAAGAAGGAGGTGGAGTCGCCATATACGTCGACAAACAGCTCAGATGTGTCCATGCAATCGACCCTCCCCTCATTGAGCTCCCTGACTCCATATGGTGCCATTTCACCGTTGGGTACTGTAAGTATCTAGTGGGCAGCATTTACAGATCACCTTCATGTGGAGCAGACCACAACCAGGTACTGCTGAATGCAATTTCAGCGACACATGACCTGGGTTATGATCAAATTGTCATAGCTGGAGACTTCAATGCCCCATCTCTTAACTTGATGACGGGATGTGCCCAGGACAGATTTGATCGAAATCTGCTGCATACCATCAGGGAGGCCGGATTCACCGAAAATGTCAGAATGGATACTAGATGGGGCCCAGATGGGAAGTCTTCTAGACTGGATTACGTGCTCACTAGTGACCAGCTACTAGTGGAAAACGTTCAGATCACGACTCCCATAGGTAGTAGTGACCATGCGGTCATAACATTCGACATAGTCCTCCGCGAGCGTTTACAGTGGGACAATACACAGCCCTATCTGTGTTATAACAAAGCCAATTACACCGAAATGCGAAGACTTTTGTCTGAAGCAAATTGGCCAAAAAATTGGACAGAGCTTACAGTAGAAGAACACTGGAGAGTGGTAAAGGAGATCATTCACCAGGCGATCTCAGACACTGTTCCTTTGGTCACACCTAAAGCTAGAAAGCAACGTTCATGGCTAAAAAGGGGGACACAACGCCTTCTACAGGCGAAGCGAAAAGCCTGGTTTGCGTGGCGAGTATCGCAGAGTCAACCCGAACATGAAGAGTACCTCGAACTCAGGAATCGGTGTAACATACGAGTCCGGAGTGATAGAAGGACATTTCAGAGAAACCTCGCCAATAGGCTTCTCGTGAACCCCAAAAGCCTATACAGGTTTATGTCTGAAAGAAAACCGACCAACCAGGGAGCTTGCAATATAGTGGGTTCTGATGGGAAATCTCTTACTAGTCTTGAAATGGCAGAGACATTCAGTCTAGCCTTTCACAGGCAACTGAACAGTAACGAGGATTTTACCCTCACAAAACATCAAGATTACAATGCAAGACCAACGTGCGAAAACCTGCTGGGTACATTTCAAATTACCCCGGCTATGGTACTCATAAAATTGGGAAAGTTGGCTTCGGGAAAGTCTGCAGGTTGCGACGACATAAGACCATCCGTCCTGAAGCAGTGTTCAGAAAGTCTCTGCCAACCCCTAAGTGATCTGTTTCAACACTCCTTTGATGTAGGGAAACTTCCATGTGAATGGAAACGAGCCATCCTATCCCCTATCTTCAAGGGTGGTGACCGGCAGAACGCGACCAGTTACAGACCAGTTGCGCTACTCCCAGTGATATCGAAGATATTCGAAAGTCTCATTGACGACCACATGAGAAAATACTTCGACGGGACTAACCTACTCCATGAAGCACAGCATGGTTTCAGGAAGGGGAGATCCTGTGTGACGAATCTTCTACTAGCTTGGAACGATTGGACACTATCCTGGGATGTAAAGGTACCAGTCCATGTGATCTTTCTCGACTTTGCGAAAGCATTCGACACAGTTCACCATGGTCTGCTCCTTCACAAAATAAGCAAAGCGGGTGTTTCTGGAGCACTTCTCGCATGGCTGGAAGATTATTTAGGCGAGAGAGAATTCTGCACCAAAGTCAACCGCATCCGATCATCCTGGCACACCTCGGCATCAGGGGTTCCTCAGGGTTCTATCTTAGGGCCGTTGATGTTTTTGATTTTTATCAATGACCTGCCCTGTCAACTGAATTGCTCTGCGCTTCTTTACGCTGACGACGTAAAGATTTGGAGAGCAATAAACTCATCGGAAGACTCCGACAGATTGCAGGCTGACCTGCAAACGCTGGGGGACTGGGCTCTGGCTAACGGAATGCCTTTCAACTTAAAGAAGTGCAAAGTAGTGCAACTTCATTCCGGCAGGTCACAGAGTGCAAATTACACCCTTGGTGGCCAGAACTTGAGTTGTGTGCCATCAGAACGCGATCTAGGCCTTATTTTAACAGAAAAGCTAGACACCAGTGTAAATTACACGAGGGACGTCGCCAAAGCTTACGCCACTTTACACTTTATGCATAGGCAACTGGGAGCTCTTACTCCTGAACTATTCCTAACGTTGTATACGACATACGTGAGGCCACTCCTTGAGGTGCATAATATCATTGCTCCTCCGCTACTCAAAAGGGATGCTAACATGCTAGAAAGTGTCCAGAGACGAGCGACAAAATGGGTGATCGGCCTCCGCAACAAATCATATGAGGAGAGACTGAAGAAATTAAGTCTTTTCACACTTAGTTACCGTAGTCACAGGGGAGACCTCATCACCGTCTATAAGATCCTAAATGACCAGGCCCATCCTAACAAGAGCATCCTGCCATTAAGTGATTATAGGCTTCCACGAGGTAACCCGCTAAGGATAGCACACCAGAGACCAAGGACTCGAGTGCGTTCACATTTCTTCTCGCTTCGAGTTTGCCGTCTCTGGAACGCTTTACCGGCGGCCGTAACTACAGCTCCATCTGTGGAGATTTTTAAGCGGAAGCTGGACAATCATGCAGAAATGCATGGTTTGTGTCTCAATGGCTTACCCTCTTAAAATTTGAAACCACATTGTCAATGGATAAGCATACAAGCTAAATCTTCACGACCCGTCCTGTCTTCTCCCACTGTACCGACTACTCTATCTTTCTTTCTTTATTATTTCACTTATCTCAACCTATATTATCTACACTACAACCTATTATTATCATTATCATTATTATTATTATTACTCTACTTTTATGACTATACCGAATGACCGACGGGTGTTAGGTCAAACTCCATTCACGGCAGCAGCTGAGTCCTAACATACTGCACACTACAAACCACAATCTTGACCAATCCTCGCATCACTCCTCCTGGAGTCTACCAGAGCTAAAGCAGTCGAGTGGCGGGATTTACTACGCATAAGTTCACCGAAGATCTGGAACCTCTACCTTAAAATCAAGAAGCGAGCTCAAAGAAATCACTGGTTTATACTAGCTCGTAATCAGGATATTGGATATTGGATATTGGATATTGGATCTTGAGACAAATGATGACTCTAAACTGCAGCAGCCCAAAACGAAACTACCTGATAAAGACCGTGACAGATCTCTATCGTACAATCAGACGCGTACGACTATAAAACATGTACATGTATATCTATGCCTGTAGTGACAACTCATCGACTTATTTAAGTGTTTACTAGGATAATTTTCCCGCATATTCTTTTGTTTTTCAGCAGGTTGTACCAACAAATAAATAGTCAGCATCACATGCATAATTTATGATCATTTAGGGAATTTAATACCTTGACTTGCCATCATTGTTTTAGACCGAAGGAAATGTGCAACTGGGAGTTTAATTGGATCTCCACAAACTCCATCATCTTTATGTGGGAATTTCCAGACTATTTGCGAGTCAAGAGACCTGTTCATAAAATAATATGTGTACTTTTCTGGTTATAACATGTCACATTGACAGTTGCGACAATATAACGATGCTACGGGCATTTGGAGCCTATTTTATTTTGCCTGGCATATTTTGGTGATACAATTGGTTTTGTGAAGACAGCCGTACATAGGTCTACTTTCAGAGTGTGGCAATAATTTCAAGGGAACTGGTGTAGACGGCGAAAGGTTAAGTTCCTCTGCTACAGTCACATTACAAGCACTTGGAGTAGTTTTATTAAGATAACAGTCGAGTGTAACATTATAAAATTTAAGGCTACTATGTCAACGTTCAAACAGTGACTGCTGACGCCTGACTTAGACAAGTTCTAGAGTATTAAAGACATCCTCATTCTGACAAGACCAAGGATACACTCGTGAAATTATTTTCCAGTGTTCTAGATTTAGATTGGGGCAGTTGTATACTGTTGCTAAAATTTCGTTATCAGTATCTGTATAAATCGTATTAAGTAAGATAGTTTTCAGCACAAAGATGAATGAAACAATTACCGGATATAAAACTGTCTCCAGAAGTCTATTAGGTTGTGTTTTGAGGTTTTAGCAGTCTCAGATTTAAGCTTTGTGTCTATCCTAGTCTGAGATACTTGTGTAAGATTAGTGTGTACAGGCGTATTCAGTATCCTTTTCACGAGTTAGTGGAGACCAAACTCGAAACGAAAAGAAATGACAGCTCTTTCGATTATTTAATTATTTAAATATGCTGTTAATATATATATATATATATATGTAGCGAATTAACACGATAAGGGTGATAAAAGAAGCGCAGAATTCGCGTTCTTCTAATTCATTTGGGGATAAAATGAATGATTTCCATACTTGTAGTATGTACTAGGCTTTTCACACATATATTTCATAGAGTTTTCCTACACCAGTTGAATTATCAAGTGTTTTCGTTCCATCTATAGGTCTCCTTTGTCTATGCCTACTAAATGCAGGTTAACCATTGATGATTTGTCAGAATTACAGGCATTTATAATTCCGCGAATATGGTATACACTTAACTGACTTCATTTTCTGTCACAAATTACTTCATTACATTGTTATTTTTGTATTGTTTTTCTATTTTGAATAGCTGTCATTAGATCTTGTGAACACCTACAAATACACATGAATCTCTCACACCACTTACATTACTGGAAAAGTTTCATATCCTTTGAATAAAATTTACAATGAAAAAGATTTCACAGGCGCATACCATCGATTCACAAAATACAAAAGAATTTCAATATAGTTTGTCTATTAATTCATCAAAGTCTGATTCAACTATACCATCATTTCAAGAATGTCTTTCGTCAGTTGAACAATTATCTGGACCTGTTTACCAATTGAATGAAATAATCCAGGATCTGATTGATTATAAGGTGAAATGTGGAATCTTTTCTCTTGTTTTTTCGCTTTCTATTAATCTTTTCTGGGTAATCACAAGGTATATATGTATATATAAGGCAATTGTAAAACTTTATTTCAGTCTTATCGGAATAAAAGTACCAAGAGACACAAGATAGTGAGTGGTTTTTGCCATATTCTCGAGGGATGGTCTTCTTGAAGTTGATATGATGGTTAGGTTGCTACGGTATTCGAGTCTTAACTTTCTTTATCCTTAGTTTTGTTCACTTAATCACAAGATCTAACTAATGTGTACATGACTTCATACATTTGTTCCCTTTTGTGAATTTCAATAAAGCGAACACAACAGTGATTCGTGCACAATAAAGTGCTACCATCATCTTTTATCTCGTTGACTTCTCATCAGCAGCTTACAGCCTAAAGATATTCATTACTAAGTCTATGTAGAGAAACATTATTAACCTACTTACTCAGGGAGTTCAGGTTTAAACGGAACAAATCAATGTATGCATAAAATGGTAATAATAATAATAATCACTTTATTCCAAACAATAACAGCAATCATATCGTAGGAAGTATCATGATAAGTATGAATACAGTAGTCGTAATGGTTTTTATGCCTAGTCATGTTTATTCTACGTGTAATTCGATTCTGTCCAACTTGATTTTAAATTCCATCAATATTCGCATTTCGTAATCTACTCACACATATATACACTATTTTCTTATAGAATGATGCTGAATTCGCCGCTTTAAATGCACCAAAATTAGCTGAACAACTTCAACCGAATACTTCATTGAATGATACACTTGCTGTGGTCTCGCAGATTCATAAACTTGCACGTTTTCAAGCTGCCCGTTGTGGATTGGTTAATTGTTCTCAGGTTTGTCATCTTGTTTACATATATATATATATATATATATATATATATATATATGATGTACAGTGTTTTATCTGAAAGCTCATCTGTTTCAGTGTTGTTTTATGGCTTATTTAGGCGTTTATTAAATGGTTTAGGACATGTGTTACACATGCATAGCCTAGCCATCGCCTTCCTCGATGGGTAAGGCTGGAAAAGAGCCACTAGTGGTCAAACCGAAACATGGCTTCATCAGTCAACGAAATCCACAACAGTTAGTCTAAGCTAGCCACGAAGGAAAGTGTAGACTGGCTGGGTGACTGGTGGGAGGGGGGGGGGGTCGTCGGGATTTTGGTAAAACCAATGAAGGCTGGAGACAGACAATTGGTGATATGGCTCAAAATCGTTCTCGGCGATGGCTGTCGGAGATGCATCCACTGCTTGTTACTTATAATACCCAATAAAACTATATTGATCTTCGATACTACTATTCTTTTTGCTTCATATCTCTGTTTGCCGTCTCTGTTTTGCATTTCTTTTTACTTTCTTCTCTTGCTTTGTGTGCTATATGGAGGGAGTGTGGTGACTCGAACTGCTGCACATCGGTGCAAAGTTCTATATTGAAACCAGCCAGTCAGTGAGTCAGTTATTAGGTGGTTTAGTCCATGCAATCAAACTAACACTTAAATATCATTCTGATGCTAACTAGGGCGACTGCCTCTATTCAGCTAGGTTTTAGTGGAAAGGAGTGACCACTGGGGTACTACACCAGGTCGAGTGTGAGGACAAGTACTCGCCAGTGATGATATTAGCTAGTGGTCACGCTATGCGTATATGATGAATTGGCAAAAGTTGGAATTCGTGGGTTGGACTTTGGATCGGGTCCCAGGAGCTCAATGGTCAACGACCTCGCTAGCCTTGCAAGCGGGTTGGTCCTTGGTTCAAAACCCAGTGGGGTGAGTGCGTACTAGTGAAGAGTCCCAAACCAGAACGAGGGGAACAACTGGCTGTTCAGTGTTCCCAGGTGGTTTTCCAGTCGCTCTCTAACCGATGTCAGTTTATGTTGAAAATCCAGTGACTACCAGTCAATAATAAGTTCGAGGGTGAGCCAATAATTGGAGACTTGAATTCACTGACTACCTAACGATTTCGCCTTTGTATTTACATCAGACACATACCATACTTGTTGCAGTACATAATTTCATTCAAATTAACATTAACGTCCCGCTTTAATCGATTATGTTAAACCGGAATGCTCCTAGTACGGACACTTTGAGTTTGCCTTATGATTAACATGAAACAATTTTGGTTGATGATGACTAACAGTGGGATCCAAGATGTGCATTTCGTCCCATCCGGAACTCGTCAGGTGGATCTACGTGAGGGCGGTAGTAACTGTGACCCATTCAAGGGGTATTTACTATTCAGAATAGAGATGAACAACAGTGGTGAGCGCCTGCATGTTAACCCTCTGGGCTAGGGCTTGGCTTCCTGGCTCCGAGCTAAGTCTCACCGAATGCATAGACAACACACGTGCCTTGCTATTCACCTCGCCTGACTAGTATAAGTAAAAGCTTCTTTGGCTTCATGCGACTATCCGGCGGGGGCTGCGGACAGACCATCATCGTGATGCTGGGTGAATCTGTTGGGACCAGCAGTCTTTCGCGTGTGGTTATTGGTGGTGTGGTATACTCAACATGGTTTATTGTAAGGGAAATGTGGTAAGCCTGCCATGTGAGATACGGTGTTCTTACTAGTGGGTATTGGGATGATAGTCGGGATCTTGTTTCCATGAGACATGTTGGGATGTCTCCAGTGTGCAGGGATCCTACTTTGATATGACGATATGCAGCTACAAGGGACAGATTTTGAGCTCCTCTCGGTACTGATACAAGACCGGTGGTAGGTGGTTGAGTGGTTCTGTAGAGTAATAGCTCGTTCGTTTAGTGCTTGTTTAAAGAATATGATAAAATTTTTAATCGATAAATGAGTTTTACTTCATTTCCCGTAGTTTATTGTCAGTAAAGGTACTAAGTATAAACGGATGCCTGACGTGGTTGTTGGACTGGCATATTACAACGGCCCAAGAAGCTACACTAACCAGAACTAATGTTCCTGTAGGTCCTACCACGCAAGAAGCGTGGTTAGAATAGCAGCTAGATTAACAGCAGTTACCATAACGTAATATGTAATTCGCTTACACTATTTTCACTGTCTGTTTTGGCGATTAGCAATAAAGTGTTTCCGTCGGATGATCAGCATACCAGACACACTACCTCTGTGCTCTGGAGAGAGGGAGTATTTATTTATTTATTTAAACACAAAAAACTCGGTACAATATGGCACAAAGCAGCTGCGCCACACAAATATGGTAAAACAACATAGATTTAAAGTAAAAATATGGATGGAGAACGGATAAAGAACTTCGTCTGGAAAGAAAACAATCATATTTAACAAGTTGAAACAGCATTCATCAGCTATCGTCGGGAAGAGAAGAAGGAACGAAATCGCAGCACATTCGCCAATGATGACTGAGATTCCTCGTCATATCCTATAACGTTTCGAGCTATCTCTCGGACTCTGACCAGGTAGTCACGAGTCACCAAACGATGCTAACTTAACACCAATATCCTTCATCCCACAACACCACATCATGGGCTGACCACCTCTCCGCTTTTTCCATCCCATTCCAGGGCTGGCTAGCGAACAGAGACTTGTGAGGAGGCCTCTTGGATGACATTCGCAGCACATATCCCAGCCACCACGAATGGTGACCTCCACTATGTGCAAACACACGCCGCCGGACTTCAGAATTACTTGCATGATGATGCCATCGAACGAAAGCAATCCTGCAGAGACAGCGGTGATCGAATACGCAGGGTCGTCGTCGCACATCCTCAGCTTGGAGAGGCCAGGTTTCACAGGCGTAGAGCAAGACAGCCCACACCGAAGTATTGTGTACTCGACCTTTGAAAGCCATGCTAACGTTGCGACGGCACCAGAGGTGGTGGCTCAAGTTGACGTATACCACCCTAGCTTTCATGATACGGTTGGAAATCTCATCCGCTATCCTTCCGCCAGCACTCATACAACTATCCAGGTACACAAACTTATCAACAAATTCAAGCGGTTCACTTACAAGAGTGAGTGCAAGTACAGGCTCCCGCCAATCTTGTAACAGTACTTTGCACCATACTGACTACTTACAGACACTGATCGCCAACTGATTAAGTGTGGTTTGGAAAGCCTGCTTGCTATCGCACAGCCAGACGATATTGTCTACATACTTCAGGTCGAAAAGTCCTTCTCCAGGAAGCGGATCTACATCACCACTACTTACATCCTTCAGAGCTGACTCCAGAATGTCATCAATAGCAAAGTTAAAGAGAAATCGAGAGAGATCGGGCAACCCTGTCTAACCGTACTGTTGGTCGGGAACAGTGATGATAGTTGGTTGTATGCCCTCACTCTACCTGAGGGAATATAAGAGGTTGGCACACATCCCAACTCACTTTATGATGGTGATCCGTTGCCAAGGGGTAAGGTCTTAGTTTGAACACAACTCCACAAACCACTTCCAAGAAGTCATGTGTTACCAGCCTCTAGTACTTGTTCTCTGGGCTCCACGGTTAGTTGATTCTAACGCTCTTTCCGTTTCAAAGGAATCAAAAAGAAATAGACTCCAGTAGGCATCGTGCGAAGCTGCCGACCAGATACTTGTATAAGCACATGAAATACCAAGTATCTCCTCACTTCATTCAAATGCCCGATTGGGTTCTATTCCAAGTTCTTTTTAATTCATGTTAAGGTTGTACAACCGATAGGCTTTCTGTTACAGGAACCAGTTGTCTCATAGAATGTCAGCAGCTAATTGTATGACCTACAGTCTCATAAATCGTTTTAAATATCTTCATAAATTGAGTCCAACGTTGCTAAAAGTGTTTCTTTTTGTTTCAGCTTGTTCGGGCAGTTATTCACATTCTAAAAACTACAAAAAATGCTGATCTACGTTCAGAAGCTGCACTCACTCTCCAGTTGTTGACGAAAGCTTTATCTGGTGCAAAATTAGCCTGTGAAGAGATTGGTATCTCAGAATTAGTTGAAATGTTAAGGTGAGACGAGGTTTTCTGCTTGAATTCTTTTTTGTTTTAGTGTTGTGTATTAGGAAGCGTTATAATAGTATTGAAAAGAAGGAGGGTAGTGTTTTACAAAAGCTTGATAATTTTCGCCTTTCTAACTCTCTAGGAGAGAGGTACATGTCAGTTGAAGAGACTTTATCAACAGTAAAATAAGCACATTTCATCTTACATAGCATGACATACTTCGGTTGAGAGATTTAACAGAAGTTACCTCCTTCACTGAGTGCGTGGGTGGCACAGCGGTAGAATGGTCGCCGACCAAACATTTGGTCAGGGGTCGATCCCCGGCCGACGTACTCCTTTACCTCGCTAAACCAGTAATAAGGCTGGTAGAAAGGGAAGGTTGGGCATGAGGCTAACAAGCAACTCTATCCCGTAAAAATAAACACCACTGCTACCGAAACTTCAAGCCTCTAGCTTGAAGCCACCTATGTTCCACTGGGAACGTGAAGGAATATAAAAGAACCTCCTTCACTTATCTAGGAAGGATCGTTTCAACTACTCGTGGAAGGGATGAAGATGTCAAAGTCAGAATAGGAAAGGCAAGATACGCCTTCATCAGACTGAAACCAGTTTGCGAGTCTTCTACACTCAGCATAAGGAACAAGATTCTCATTTTCAACACCAATGTCAAGTCGGTCCTTCTATACGGGTTGAAACTTGGCGTGTCACAAAAAGGATTTCCAACAGCATATTGCAGACTTTCATCAACAGCTACCTTTGCTCCACACTGGCGATCAAATGACCAGAAGGAATTAGCAACAAGAAACTCCGCAGTGAAACAAACCAACAAGCAAGAGCTGGTCACTCAACAAATATGTAGGAGAAAATGGAGATGGAACGGGCATACATTGAGGGAACCGTCGAAAGACATCGCGCGCCAGGTCTTCGAGTGGAATCCAAATAGGAAGCGACGGGCGAGTCGTCCTAGGGTGACAGAGGAAGTCGTGTGAGGATGAGGTGAGAGAGTTTGGGCAATCGTAAAATCATCTGAAGACGATGGCAGATCTAACAATTAACGAACGACCTAATCCAGTAATCAACCAGATAACTTTTGAGCAGCCCAACTGGTTTATTCACACATAAAAATGGTAGTACTTCGTTTTAATCAAAACTTCTCTGGTTACCGTGTATTACAAAGTACAATTCTTGTTGTTGTTTTTCTTTTATTTCAAAAAACCCGTTGCTGACGAAGGTCTTATATCAGAACCTGATCGCCGCATAATAATTAATATTGTGTGTTATATGGAAATTTCGAATTGTAAAAATGAATTTTAAAAAAATTTTGTATTTGAGTACTGACTGACTGACTGACTGATGGTGGAATTTTAACTTAGAACTCTGCACAGAAATAAAACATTTCAAATTCTCTCAACTCATATAGCACACAAAAGTTCTAAAGGAAGTACAATGAGCAGAAATGTACGCGAGAAAGAATTATATCACTATTCCCTTGAGTTCCAAGTGGAAAATAGGGATTCAACAACACATCTCCACTTTCTTCGATTCCCTGCTGTCCTCTTCAGCTGGCTAGTTCCATGATTGCCCATAATCTCTCATCTCCCCCTCCCCAAACGATCTCTCCTATGTCATCCTCGCATTGAAGACCCATTCGTCGCTTCCCATTGGGATTCCACCCGAGCACTGGCCTGGTTGTCGCGTGATGTCATTTGATGGCATCCTCAATGGTGTATGTTCGATCAGTCCATCTTCATTTTCTCCTACACCTTTGTTGAGCAATTGGCTCTTGCTTGTTGGTTTGTTCCCAGCCAACCAAAGTTTCTTGTTGTTGATTCTTTCTGGCTAGCCGGCCGACTGGCCATTTGATCTTCAGTATGGAGCCAGCCAGCGAAGGCAGCAGCTGTTGACAAAAGTCTACAGTGACCTGTTGGAAATCCTTTTCGTGACATGCTTGTTTCTGACAAGTTTCTGACCCAAAGGCTTTCACCATCCTGCTGTGTCATTTCGTCTCTCCGTTTCCAGCGAAGAATAAGGTTGTATTTTATAATTTTTGTATTTTAAAAATTTTTCTTGTGCGCTGAAGTTCCTATAGCAGTTTGAGTGATTTTGTGGGGGTGGAGTCACTAGCCCTACGCTTAACCTCCCCCTCTTTAACCGGGCTTGGGACCGGTTAGGAAACTAGCGAACTAGTAAACTAGGCGGGGTTAGTTGGCAGAACATAGAGCGACCAATTCCCTTGCTGTTCGAGTGGAGCACAGGGCTTCAAGCTGTAAAGTGTCAGTAGTGGTGATTTTGCTTTTATTTATGAGCGCGGTTGCCAGCCTTATTCCCAATCTTTCCTGTCTTCCGAACTTATTACTGGTTTAAGCAATGTTCAGGGGTGCGCCACAGTCAGAAATCGAACCACTGCCTTCAACATTACTGGAGACCATTCTATCACTGGACAATTTTTAGACGTTATTTTATAGGGATTGAATCTGTTTCTTCTCTGACCATGGATTGATATCAGTTAGGGAACCATTGAAAACTAGCATGGAATACTAGACAGCCGTTTCGTCCTCATCGGTGGTAAGTACTCACCATAGGGTTCTGCACCCATGACACCATCCAGCCACTGGGACCTGACTCAATGTAACCGGAAGGTCCTGATGATGAGTCCCAAATTAAGGCGAAACGGCTGTCTCGCACTGCATGCTGGTTTTCTAACCGTCCACTAACTGACATCAATCCGTGAGCAGACTTGAAATCTTTAAGAAGTTTGTTCTAGATTTTCAAGGTTTTCAATGACACGATATTTGATATTGATTATTGATAATAACAACCTTGAATTGGACAAATTTATTTGAAACCTAAAGTTTAAGGATTAATCAGAGAGGAATTCAACACTTGTTTAAATCATGTTAAATTATTCAATGTGTTCAATAAAAGTTCATATTAACAACAAAAAAAGAAATGAAATCATGTTTTTTTCTTTATAAATTATCTACTTTTATAAGATTTTAACTGTCAATAAATGAAGCACTAATGATAATTGATTGTTTCTCACATTTAAGTTTATTTCTTTTCAACAATTTGAATTCATGCCAATATAGATAGGTTGGGTCATAAAACAACTAAGGAACCCCCTCCCCCTGAACAGCTGTTTCGTTCTAGTTTCGGACTGTTTAACACACTGGTGTGTAGCCATGACGACCTCATCATTATTGATCGACCGTCAGCATAAAACAACAATGTACTATTGATTGGTTTAGAGTGCTTGCCAGCTAGCCAGAATATAGCAGTGATCTAAACGCTGGATGGTTTGAATTGATTCGACTCTTTGAGCTGAGTTAAACTGGGTGGGTGGGTATACACTGATGATGAAACAGCGTGTGGAACAGCGCTGTCCAGTGTGTAGATCCCTTCAATCTGGCCAGCTGACAAGCACTACTGGTTGATGTGAGTGGTATGCAATTAATAATAATAATAATCTGCTTTATTCCCCCCAAAAAACAGTACTTATAATACAGAATGGAATTCTCAGCATTTGTCACAATATCTCGCATCTGATTTACTCAAAATATAAATAAAATTAAAAATTAAAGCAAAAGTAACCAGAGGAATTTGTCCACGTTTACGATATAATTCAAAAATATCCGAAGCACGAATTAAGAATATTAAATATTATTATAATAATAATAATAATAATAATAATAATAATAATAACAGTGAGTTTGTTTCAAATAGTATTGTCGATTCAGTTTGGAAACTTTAGCATGTTATAGATTATTGGGTCTAATGTTCTGTTGATATGGTATGGTGAGGTGAAATACAAAGTTAACAGTCATAATACAGCTTAAAATTATGTCCACACTTATGAAAAATAAAATAAACAAAACGAAAAATTGAGAGGATTGTAAATGTAAGAAATACAATAAGAATAAAGGTTGATATTGTAAGGGTGGAGGAAATGGTTTATTTAGTAGTGCAAAGAAGGTTAGTTAGTTCAGGCTTAACACTGTTTTCATCACATAAAGTACGTGCTAAATACGGTATAGTGGAATTTTTATACTTAGACGTACGTGCATAGTCTCCTGAAATGACTTCTTGTTTTACCTGAAGAGACACAAGGTTGGAGCTGTGGGTGACTAAAGCGGATGTTCACAGTCTGACAAAATTCCTTTAGCGAATTTGTTGCATGACATCAAGTGCCTATCAGTGACGATGTCAACGAAATGGCCCAATGGGATACCACCACTCGTCCTACTGACAGACTTCAGAGATCTACGAAGTATGACATAGTCTTTTTTAAGCAATCCAGGAAAGAATAATGGTGAACAGTAAAGAAGAATAGGTAAGATGCACGAGTTGACAAACTGTAAGAGGAGGAGTGGTTGAGCTGTGCTCGAGTGCCTAATGTCAAAAGTCAGACGAAATATTCTTTTAGAAATCGCTAAGAAATGGGAAGACTAGGATAGATCAGAAGGAAGAATTATTCCAAGATGCTTTACTTCAGACTTGGTTTCTGAATAAGTATCATTAATTTTCCAAGGGTCATAGGAACCAACAGCTTGGTCATTTAACTTCCTTTTACATAGGAAACTGCAGCTAACATCCTGACATTTGGAAGGATTTAGTTTAAGGCCGTTAGATGAAGACCATTTGCTAACTCCTGATAGAAAGCTGTTCATCTTAGTACAGTCTAGCTGGAAGTTAACAGACATTGAAATAGTTAGATCATCGGCATACTTAACAAAGTTCATTTCATCAGAGTGAGACAAGTCATGCAAGAAGAAAGAAAAGAGAAAAGGAGAAAGGACAGCGCCTTGAGGGACGAAGTGGACGACTTTCCCTGACTGACATACAGTGTACTGCTTTCTTCCTGAGAAATAAGAATGCAGTCATTTGACAACCCAACAGTCAGTTTGAGTTTCAGCAAGCTTGTTTAACAAAATATGCCTCCTACTGAGGTACTGAGTCAAAAGGAGATGTGTGATCTAGGAAGGTGCAGCGAACAAATTTAGCCACCCCCTTGTCTAAGCTGGAGACAATGTTATGATGCAAGACTGCAGCTGCATGTAAAGTACTTCTACTGTGTTTATAGGCGAATTGTTTGGGATCGTTAATGGCTTTAAGTGAAGGTTGAAGATTAAGTAAGAGTAACTTTTCCATAGTTCTTAGAAAAGGAGAGGTAATTGGACTACTGATGACAATCAGTCAGTAGTATATTACAATGGCGTGAGAATCATTGTAAACTAGGGAACACTAGACAATTGTTTCGTTCGTTGTTTTGTTTGTCTTTTCAGCAGTGCACTCACAGAAGATTATTCTAGAGCAATCGTCATTAACAATACTGGTGTGCTTTTTAAATACTATCGATTTGTTAAGTAAGACTGAGATGGAATTACAATTCACGAAAGATGCATAAATTATAGTAAGCATAACAATGTAATAGTGAATAGAGTATCAAATAAAATTAAGGATATTTCTACAACCAATTAAGGATTATTAAAACCTTCACGGCCAAGGCAACTAAGGACAGTGTCTGAAGCAACTTCCTCTTTTGGAAACGTATGTTAGGCTTCTTAATGTGGTTGCCAACGGCCAGCCTCAGCAATATGTAGTAGACGAACTCTTCTTAAGGTGAAGTTAAGATTAGTTGGTGTGCGGTAGAGATGACTTTGAAATTCGCCTCATTGACATCAATCTTGTGTTCTGTATCCACAAGATGAGACAGAATAGCCCGATGAATGGATTTTGTTTGTCCTTAACTTAACCACACAGGGTGATGTTCGAAAATCCGACGATAAACACCCCTAATTGTACGGCCTATGCAATTAACTAGCTCACTCCACAGGAGCAGTCAAAGTCATTTACCGCATACCAACTAATCTTAACTTCACATTAAGAGTTCGTCTACTACATATTTTGGAGGCCGTTGGGATCCACATTAAGAAACCTAACTTATATGTTCAGACACTATCCTTACCTTGGCCATATAGGTTCGAATGATCCTTAATTGGTTGTGGAAATTTCCTTAATTTTATTTGATATTCTATTTGCAATTACATTCTTATGCTTATCATTATAATTTATGCATCTTTCGTGAATTGTAATTCCATCGCGATCTTACTTGACAAATCAATATTATTTGGTTGGAGGATTTCATCATGTGCTGCTATCATTTAGAGAACCATTGGAAAACCAGCTAGGAGTACTGGAAAGCTATTTCCTTCGCCCTAATTTGGGACTCTTCATCAGTATGCACCCACCCACCAAGGTTCGAACCCAGGACCTAATGGTTACAAGGCTAGCGAGCTCTTACGTAGATTATTCGTCAGCCACTGGGACCTGATCCATTGGTCAACCAATGAATTCTGACTTTTGCTACTTTGCAATGTCTTCTTCGATGAGTTACTGCCTCATGATGAAGTCCTCCAATCAATCAAATAAAACCCCTGTCTGTCTGGATTCAACATAGAACTTGGCACCGAAGTGCAGCAGTTCGAGTTGCCACGTTCCAAATAGCACACAAAGGTAGATAAGAGGGTGAGTGAAGAGAATCAATAGAGTTTTGACAAGTATAAGAGTGAAACAGAATGAGTAATGGTAGAAAGGAATATGAAAGACCACACAAGAGACTGAATACATCTGCGTAAGCCATTGACAACGATTTTGAGCCATGTCACCTATTGTCTCCAGCCATTGATTCTTAGAGTCCCGAGGGCCCCAACCCGGAAGTCTGTATCTCCCTACCTGACTGACTCAGTTTAACTGTCAGGGATTTCATGGATTGATGAGGCCATGTGTTTGTTTGGCCACCACTTACTCTTTCCCTCCAACCTGCACCTATATCAGTAGTAATGCCCGTCTGGGTGGGGGAGGCGATGGTTAGGCATGCGCAGCACGTGACCTAGTCATCTCAGTCTATGTAACTTTATTGCCTCGTCGATTGATTTGCTCCCATTGCCCAACACTCTACGCTTAACGTCAACATTACTTACCTTATTATGCCACCTAACGTGAGAAAGAGATCGTAGACATCTATGATCAAAACCAGTCAACCTTTTCATGTCTTCAACTCGTATTGTCCATGTTTCAGAGCCATAGAGAAGGACGGAGCGAACTACTGAGCATTACACACATCTCTTGGTTGATAACCGGATGTCACGCCCAAGCCAGACATGCAGTAAGTTGGCGAAAGCAGATTGAGCTTTTTGGATCCGTGCTGAGATTTCGTCGCCAATCAATCCGTTGGTGCTGATGCAACTTCCTAAATAGGTGAAGTGGTCAACATGTTCTATCACTTCACTCCCTATCGCTAAGCTTGGAGTTGACGTAGTCCAGTCCTGTAGCAGCATCTTGCATTTTACAGGGGCGAATCGCATGCCAAACATACGAAGATTGCTGCTCAAGGTGTTCAGAAGACTCCCTACAAAAGCCGATACTTGAAAATCGATATTATTTAAAAAAATACACCACTATTGTTAATGACGACCATTCTAAAATATTCTATTTATATAAACCTATATATGATTGTAGAGCGAGAGGAGGAAATCATCGAAAAGGATATTCTTAGCTCAATTTTGTTTGTTTGTTTTTTCTGAATGTCTGATTGAATGTTTTTGCTATATTGGTAATAAACTTTGTCGGGAACATATGGTCTTGTAAGTACGTACCTACATTGTGTGGAACTTAGTCCTTTATTTCATTGTCGAAAAACCATTCACTGACACTTTTGTCTTTCTTTTTTTGTTTTCAATTTCTCTTTCAAGGCATCCATCTGAAGTGATGTATACAACCGCCTTGTATGTATTGAATCAATTATTATGGCATTTACCTAATTCTGCTCGACCAGAATTTCGACAGTATAATGGACACTTGAATTTAATTTATTTACTGGAGACAAACAGTTTAAAAGACTCGAATTGGTTGCTCATCTGTTTAGATACTCTACGTATGGCTGTATATGAAAGTAGTGAGACAAAGTTGTCATTGACATCAACATCGATTTATGAAATTATTGTACGCCTGTTGAGAATTTATCCTAACAATGCGAAAATAGCTTATAATATAGCTAGATTGATCAAGGTGTTAAGCGTGTGCAATGAGAATAAAATCAAGTTGGTTGAAGCAGGTGCTGTAGAAGTAAGTTAGTCAGTTTTTTAGTTAGTTAGTTAGTTAGATAGTTGTTCGAGTGTTGATTTACAGGTGGATTTCATTATGAGTTGATATCGGTTAGCAGCCAGATGGAATCCCAGCAGAAGCATTGAAAATGGATGCAGAGACAACAGCGGACTTGATGACGCCATTACTGGAGAAGGTGTGGAAAGAAGGCAAAGTACCCTAGGATTGGAAGAAAGGATACTTACTTATTCAAACTACCAAAGAAAGGAGACTTAAGTCAATGCAAGAACTGGCGCGGAATTATGCTGCTGTCCATCCTAAGCAAAATACTAAGCCGCATCATCCTGGAGAGAATGAAACATGCCACCCTGGATGAAAAACTTCGACTGGAACAGGCTGGTTTCAGGAGAAACAAGTCATGTATTGGTCAAATCGCCACATTACGGATCATCATTGAGCAAAGTTTAGAGTGGCAGTCACCTCTCTATCTCAACTTCCTTGACTTTGAAAAGGCCTTTGACAGCGTCGATCGAGAGGTGATTTGGAAACTACTTCGCTACTATGGGGTACCACCGACAATAATACATCTCATCCAACAGCTATACGACAATGCTGCATGCCAAGTAATCCACAACGGGAAGCTCATGGAATCCTTCGAAGTGAGGACAGGAGTAAGACAAGCTGGCTGCCTACTATCGCCAATGATTTTCCTGACTGCAGTAGACTGCATGATGCGACAAACAGCGGCGGGCAATGAGGAAACAGGCATAGAATGGACTCACACAAAAAACCTGGAGGATCTGAACTTCGCCGATGATATATGTCTGATTTCCCACAAAGTGGGAGATATGCAAGCGAAAAGCAACAAGTTGGCAGAAGAAGCATCCAGAGAAGATAGGACTTCAGGTGAACATAGAGAAAACAGAGGTGATGAAGATTCCTGGAGAAGAACAACAACAGCAACAACAACAGACAACGATCAGCATAAATGGAAGGAACCTGAAAGAAACAACCTCTTTTACCTACCTTGGAAGCATCGTTTCAACTACAGGCGGAAATGACGAGGATATCAAAGCAAGAATCGGAAAAGCAAGACAAGCTGTCACTACTCTCAAGTCTGTGTGGAGGTCAACAACACACAGCATCAAAAATAAGATCCGGATTTTCAACTCCAATGTGAAGTCAGTGCTACTCACTATACGGATCAGAGACTTGCACTGCGCGTCATAAAGAGCATCTCAAACAAACTACAGACCTTCATTAACAATTGTCTTCGCTCAATACAACTCAAGATCAGATGGGGAGAAAAGATCAGCAACAGAGATCTCTGGGAGCGAACCAACCCAGCAGGAACCGATTGTGAAACAAATAGGCAGGAAGAAATGGAGATGGATTGGCTGGCCATACTCTGAGGAAACCATCAAGTGACATCACTAGACAAACCATTGCTCGAGTGGAACCCGAAAGGGAAGCGGTGAATTGGTCGTCAGTGCGAGGGTTACATGGAGGAGGTCATGTGAAGAGGAGATGAAGGTGTGTGGGCAGACTTGGAGCCAGGTGAAGACTCTAGCAGAGAACCGAACGCAATGGAGACGTACGGCTGAAGCCCTATGTTCCTCTAGGAATTAAAGGAAACAATAATAATAATAATCGGTTAGCAGGAGAACCATTGGATGGATAGTGCCAGTCATGGTATATAGGTTGGAATTAATTGGATCGGATCCCAGTGGCTGAATGGTCTACGAGCTTGCTGGGTTCTGACTCCCCGGTGAGTCTGAAATCAGAAATGAGGGAACAATTGACTGTTCAGTAGTCACAGTTGGTTTTCCAATGGTTCTTTAACCGATTTCAGCTCATGATGAAATCCTATGAGTTAGTTATATTTGATCGATTGATGAGTATTAATATTATTGGTGTCGTTTGTATTTGTGAGATTTGTAACTGTTTTCTTGATCGGTACGTGTAATGTGGCCAAGTATAACGATATTGAACTCATTAGATATCTCAAATAAGAAGCTGAATACGATTATTTCCCGCCAATACTTTCTGCTTTACAGAACCATAAAGTAAGGTGCCTCTCTTCAGTAGAATCCAACGAATATGCACTGAAGACACACTTGGTGATGATGAAGAAAGAAAGTTGACACAAACTCTGGTTGATAACAATTATCCAGACAAGTTCATCAGGAGATAGAAAGTGGTTAGTGGAACACCAAGAACCACTCTACAACTCGGCGCTAAGAAAGACGTGTTCATCAAGCTACCGTATATGAGGCATCAAAGCAGCTTGATAACTAGACAAAGATTGAACGCTGCCGTGGTTAAAAAGACTTTTTATGCAGCTAATATCATAATAATTGAAAATGTGAAGCCAATATATCTATCTAAGCCCTTCGAACATGCGAAAAATGATGTCACATCCTACTGTGTTTACCAATTTGAATGGACGTATGGACACACATACATAGGTGGAGGACTTATCGATCTCTTCAAGTAAGGGCTGGCTTCAGAGCATATTCCTAAATGGCTTCAGAAACAAATCGAATCTTCAGAACCTATTAATGGTGAGAATAGGAGACCTAGCTCCTCTATTGTGAAACATATTATAGAGACAAGACGTAAAATTGACGTTTACACATCTTTTAAACCTATCTATCCATAAAACGTGTTTGGGGCGTATCCTAAAGTTTGTGGAAGTCCTATCTAGCAATTAGAAAGTTTAAACCACCTTTATGCGTTCAAAAACAATTCGTCATCACATTAAACCTTCCTTTGTAAATTTTGTTTTGATACCAGGCAGGGGAGATGTACTATTACCTCTGCTATTTGGTTTAGTGGTCTTCATTGTTATTCTGACCTTGAACATGTCCTTTTAACTTCACCTAAGTCTATTTTCTCATGTCTTACCTCTTTATTAATTTCAAATATATTCCTATGACAAGTCCGTGTGTGATCAGATCGTTCAAAATGTGTTGCGCAAATACGCAATACACGATTCAAACAAATTACGTCTTCTCATTGTTTTATCTAAAAGAATTGCTCTCCTTTGATTGAATTTATGACTTCATCAGATACTATGGGGTGCAGTGCCCCTAAGGCTTTATCAACCTCACTCAACAGCTGGCTAAATGACAATGCCTGCCACGTGTCAGGTGATCCACAATGGGAAAATTAGGGAATCCTGACTTTGAAGTGAATAGAGGAGTTGCCTATTACCTTCGATGATATTCCTGAGTATTGTGGTCGATTGGATTATGCGACAGACTGTGCATAGGGAGTCAGAAGATAGGAATACGTTGGACACACCGATAAGAAGACTCTAGAAGATCTTGAACTCGCACGTGGATGTTTTATGTTTAATGTCACACAAACGGGCAAAATACGCAGCCAGTGAAGACAGCACTCTAGGTGATGAACATAGAAAAGACGGAAGGGATGAAGATAACCAATCAACCAACAACAACAACAACCACTACCAGTCATCATGAACCGGAGAGATCTGACAGAGGTTACTTCCTTCTGTTATCAGGCCAGCAAGCACGGTTTCAACCACAGTCACAGTGGGAACGGATGAAGATGTCAAAACCAGCCAGCCAGAATCGGAAAGGCGAGATACGCTTTGATCAGCCTGAAATCAGTTTGGAAATCTCTTTTTTCACTCACTCAGCCAGGTTAAACAACAAGATTCGGATTCTGTTCAACACAAATGTGAAGTCAGTCACTCAGTCACTGCTTTTATACTGGTCAGAAACTTGCACTGCGTGTGTGTTACGTAAAGGATTTCCAACAACTGACCAATTCTCTGGCTCCTTACTGAAGATCAAATGGCCAGTGGAAAGAATTAGTAACACAAAAATCTCTGGCTGGCGACGGACCAATAGGCGAGAGCAGATTGCTCAACAAATATAAATGTAGGGGAAAATGGAGATGGATTGATCGGGCATACGCAGGCTGAGGAGACCATCGAATGAAATTGCGTGCCAACCAGGCCACCAGTATTGTACATTATGTCCAATGAACTTATCTAATATCCAATTATGTTCTATCATGACGTGTGCTACTCACAAGATTTATAAGTAGTATATATAGATATGTGTATACAGATTTATAGGAAGCGGTTAAAATTGAAATCAATATTTTAAGTCAGTAGCTAGCTAGCTACAGAGGTAGCAGTGTTCAAATTCATTACATCTGGATCTAGTTTACACATTGTGGTCAGGAAAATAATCTCATTGGATAACTTTTTGTCTCATTGTTTTAACCTTGGGTCAGTCTCCAACCAATCGGAAGAGTTTATTGTCCACTGACTTAGTCCAGCTTTAATGTGGTTAAAAGTGTATAAAAAAGTCCGTTATCCATTCCCTTATCTTCTGTCGTTATACTACTATCACAAAAATTCTCAAATTATTCTAATCTTACACCAGATTAATTTTGGTTGTGACCTTTTACATACAGTATATATATATATATCTTCGTTGGAGGATTTCATCATGAGCTGACATCAGTTGGAGAACCACTGAAAAACCTGGGAGTACTGGGCAGCTGTTTCGTTAGCCTAGTTTGGGACTCTTCAGTAGTACGCACCCGCGGGGGTTCGTAGACAATGCGAAGTGGTCGCACTATATCATGAATTGCCAGAAGTTGGAATTCATGGGTTTGCCATTGGATCGGGTCCCAGTGACTTAATGATCTACGAGCTCGCCAGCCTTGTAACCAGAAGGCGTACTACTGAAGAGTCCCAAATTGGATTGACGAAACAGCTGTTCACTACTTCCAGATGGTTTTTCAATAGTTCTCTAACTGATGTCAGCTCATGATGAAATCCCCCGACCAATCAATCAAAATCCCTACAAAAATCAATATATACATATTCGTTAAATTTTAGGCGTTAACTCCACTGTTGAATTGTACAAATGAAGTACTACAATTGGAAACACTTTGGGGATTACGTAATATCAGTGATCAAGCTTATCATTTATTGGCGACAAAAAATCTGATACCAATGTTAATCACTTTACTGGCCAGTAAAAATGAGCATATATCGATTTGTTCTACTGGTTGTCTGTGTAATTTAACCTGTCAAAATGTTCAGAATAAAAGTTTACTTGTTGAAAAGGGTAAGTTTATTATTAGTATTATCATTGTTATTCTCACTAATCCTTGGTGTGGTTGTGTTCTCTGATTGAGGTGGTTCAGTTCAGCGTTAAAATCGGCAAAGTTGAAGGAAACCAGAGGAGTACCAGGTACTTTGAAACTACCAGCCGCTCTCAAATGGTAAATTTGAGTCACTTACTCAGTCCTAACCCGCTAATCTTTCCCTAACCTACTAATGTTTTGTCTTTTACCCGGTTTCACTAGCCTGATCCTCTTGTGAGATTCAAGGTCATTGTTGCATTCCTCCCATCTCCTCCCCTTAGATTGCTGTCCTTTAACATGACCCTTACGTCAGGGTGTAGTAAATGACGTGACGGTCTCTGCTGATGACCTTAGCTGTGTGATTAGTTGTCTTCAGAGTGTTTTATTACCCTTTTGTTAATCGATATTGTTACTGACCGCTTGACTGATGTGGATTTTGACCAAGACAAATACTATCGAACCCCTGTGTAAAGGAGAATAGAGGGGTAATATCTTTTTGACTGTCTTCTAGGAAAAAAGGATGTTTTCTCAAATTTATCCAAAAAATGTCTATACTTGGATAAAACTATAAGTAACAGACCATCCCGCTGAAGCCACAAGAATATTTCTGAAATAGAGGCTAGAATAGTCCTACAGGAGGTCAATTGCGAACCCGAATAGTTCATTGGTAACGTCTCGAAGTGCAGCACTGGGTGACGCGGGTTCGAATCTCAGAAGGGACCTGACTGCCTTCAAGATTGCAGATATGCCTTACTGACTGGTGAGTGGTAACTAGCACGAAACCTAGGTCACGCAAGGCTTCCTGCCGATAGCTCCCAACCATCTAATATGTTTAAATAGGTGCTAGAATACTAGGAAACCATTCGGAATAGATATTGTATGCAAGCAAACACAATCACTTCATGCAATACTGTCCAGACTAAACGACCCACCTAGCAGCAAAAGAAGACAAAATCAATACAATTTGCAAAATAAATTGAATCACTTGTGAAAAGTACTATATTAGTCAGCAATCTTCGAATATTTGGCATGTGAGTCGCTCTCGTCAAATGTAAGATGATGCTTACTGCACGACTGGACTACATCGACTCATTCCTAGCTTGAAGATAGGCAGGAGCAAAGTGGGTGCTCAGAGTAACAGCGTGATTGGTTGTTTTTGTGTGATTTCACACCCTCTAGGCTACTTGAATTGGTACTGATTTTTTCCTTCACCTGAAGTTTGACCCTTTGTGTGTGTGAAATTTCCTTCTTATCGATGGATAAATTTTGTCTATTTCAATGTCTCTATTGCCTGACAATTCACCGGAATACCAGGCAGCCTTCTAAAATTTCTCTAGCATTCTTGGTGTTTCCTCAGTTGTCTAATATTTGAACGTTGTCCCAGTTGAATTGATGTCTGTGGTTGTGTGTATGCAGTGAGTGATATAAAGGAGTGGATGTCATGTCATTTGACGGCTAGTTTGTGATCATGGATATGAAGACAAAGAGGGGGGGGGGGGCGTCCACTTTGTCCAGTGTAGTGTTTTTCTCAGTTGTTACAGTTTATTGTGTAGATGATGTTGGTTTTATCTAATTTAGTTGTTGAGTCTTTTGGTTGACACAGAGCTGCCAGCTGAGTGAAATCATTTTGTTCGTTTGTGTGCGACATTATTTATTTATTTATTTTGGTTACACCTTGATGCCACACCGTATTTTCAGTACAAGTATGGAATTTTCGGCATGGATATCGGTAGCCCAAATTTGCAGGCCGACCATAGATATCGGGTGTGCGTCGGCACTGGATCGAACCTCGGACCATGTGCATGGTCGGCGAGAGTCCTAACCACTGTGCCACCGACATCAATTCCTCATCATGGTTTGAAGAGTCTTTCAGTGATTTCTGAGATGATAGGGCAATTTTCTTTGTGCTTTCCTTGGAGGCCGTTAATTTGGTAGGTTGGTTGGCTTGGGGATAGATTTCTTTTAATGAAGTTCCGTGGATAGCCATTGTCAAGGAACTTAGCCCTAAGTTCCTATTGTAATGAAGACGTAGGCGATTGAACCGATAAATACTATGTATGTCCTTCAACTTTAAATCCAAAACACCAGTATTCCTTTAACGAAATTATATTGTTTGGCAATTAAAGTGAAGACAACTACAAAGTCTACAAACAAATGTTAAGTACAAATGAAGTTATAAAGTACTTTTATTCGTGTTCTTTCCACCTTCTTCCAACTTGCACACGATCGTACTATTCGCGCCTTCGAGTTGCCCACCAATGGCTGCCAGTTCCAATAAACAAACGTTCAATGTTCACGTCCATTGACAGCCATTCTTTTAGAAGACGTCCATGAGATATCTTTCTTCAATTTTCTTTAGGGTAAGAATGCTGCAATGAGTCATGACTGGCCCTCTTGAATAGTGTTTGTATGTAACTCCTTTTGTGTTTTATTGGATTGTTTCTGTTGTAATTGAGTATCTAGTCGGTGTGAGTTGATTTTCTATAAACTTGAGTTTCTAATTTTCCTCTGTGGTCGTGCGCTTGACTAAGATATCCAAAAATGGAATTTTGTTCTCGGATTCCTCTTCTCTTTCGAGAGCTTCATCAGCTCAGAGAACACAACTACATCAAATCCATCCACCTGAGCTAAAAATCTTCTCCATCAACCGTGATAGACACTTTGTAATCGGATTCTCATTGGTCATGAAATCTTCCTACTTCATTTTACACAGTCCTTTTCTATCCTTTTTTCTTTCAATCTTTTCCGTCTACAGGTGGTGTAAAAGTCCTATGTAGACTGTTATGCTTAAATCCTGATCGTCAAGAAATTGCTGAGCCAATTTGTTCCGCTCTAAGACATGTAACTCATCGTAATCCTCATGCAAATGCAGCAGTTTATGAAGTAAGTCTCTATTGATTTAAAAGAATGGCTACTGAACTAAGAATATTCATATTTTCGATAACCTGCTCTTCATCATCAGGTTCTACAATTAGATGTCCATCGATGATAGTGAATGAATGAATGAATGAATTAGTGTTATAAACCACAACATTAATGTTGCTGTTTAAATAACATCAAATCAATAATAATAATAATATCAATGGATTACAGTTCAATAGCATCAACATAACACTTCACACTGAATATCAGAGAAATTAGGAAAAATCATGATACAAATTCATGAATTTCTAGTCTCCACTGAAGGCCAATCAGGGTAGTAGTAGTAGTGACTGGCTGAACTTGCTTCTTTTGCACACAAAGCACTGGTTGTTTCAGGCGAATCACGATAGCCCCTGTTGTTTGGCGAATGCGGCACCTCCTTGTTTTTGGAAATTTATTTGCTATCCGGTAGATAATAGAGAAGGATTCTTCAATGCTAACTAGCTTTGTTGCCGGTTTGAACCAGGTGGTCTAATATCAAACTGTAGATGGTTATTACTACGCCTTTACTTAGCCATATTGAGAGATGTCCTCGAGCGCGAAAAATCAAGTTCCTAGAGCGACGGCCAATATAACTCGCTCCACAAGCGCAGTTGAACTGGTAGATATCAGGAACCTCATAGATACCACTGTTGTTAACTTGGCTTTCGTTCAATTTTAATTTTAGTCGAGCTCTACTCAACCAGGTCAATTAATAATAATAATAATTTGCTTTATTCCAGAAACAGTACTAGTGGTACAGTGTGGAATTTTCAGCACATATCTACAATATTTGCATCTGATTTTACAAACATTTAGAAGGAGTATTAAACAAACAAAATAATAAATCTAAAGACACCAACAGCAAAAATACAAGAGGAGAAACACAGAAATAATTTTCAAAAAAGGCGAAAAAATACCAAGAAGTAGAAAGGAAAATAAACATCATATAATAATAACTCAGTATTGAGTAGTGGAAGCTATGATATGATTATGCATGGTGACAGTAAAGCTATAGTCATACAAAAAGTTATGAAATGATATTTAAGAAAGTTTATCGCCAAGATGATCAGTTAATTTGGTTGAAACAACACTAAACAATCATAAAATAACATTTCAGGGTTGTTGTTTTGTTTTATATTGTCAAGTCTAATGCAGTGTTTGTAGTGGTAGTGTGAGTAATCCTGAATAATACAAAATTTTAAGGTAGTGACAATGGCGTTCACAACCAATGATTGTCAGTTAATATTGCCGAAAAAGAAACAACAACCACAAAACTAATAATCACATGATGGTTAGTGACAGGTCAGTTTTGTAATACTCATAGTACCAATATAGTCGGAACCAGTAGATACACAAAAGAAGGAATAGAGTAAAGTACAAAAAAAGTAAGCCAATGTTAATAATTTAGGTAGCTAAGTATGTTTAAGAAGGTGTTCACCATAGAATACAAAATAAGAGAGAAATAAAAGAGCCTAAAATTATGTTATTAATAACAAAGCAAGTCATAGGTTTCGCGCTTAACATTGTCTCTGTCACTTAGAACATGGGCCGAGTATGGTATCGTTGAGTTCCTGTACTTTGTTGTACGAGCATAAATTATTTTATACTGATTTCTGATTCTACCTGATGAGATACTTGGCGAGAGTTGGGAATAGAGGGGGTGTTGGGGGTCGGAGAGTATGGCTTTATACCATTTTTCGCATGTATTCAGATGCCTTTCTACTAATGTAGTGACGAGCTGACTGAGTTTTACACCACTAGTCCTACTAACTACCTTCAACATCCTTCTCAGGATGGTATAGTCCTTTTTCAGTAGACCAGGAAAGACTAACGGGGAGCAGTAAAGTAGAATAGGTAAGATACAAGAGTTGACAAATTGTGAAAGTAGATTACGTCACTCAACTTGCGTATTTAATCTTATTTTAATTTCTAACCAATTAACGATATTTCTAATCTAATATATATATATATATATATATATATGCGACAGTACAGCATGAGAATGATTTTGCTATAAAGAGTAACTCTTCTCCGAACGTCTTTTCCCTCAAACGATGAAGGTTCACCTTTCCTTTCTGCTCTTGGTTTTGACATCTTCATATGTGGCATTTGTATTTAAAACGATGCTGCATAGAGAGGTGACTTTCTTCGAATTTCTCCCGTTGACAATGACTCGGACTTGTTGTTGTGCCTTAGGTACCAATCAGTCGGAAAAGAAACCTAATTAGATCTCTTGACACTCACGTCCAACGCATCTGCAGCTCTGATACCATGGAAGAAGAACTAAACTTCTTGAAAGAAATCTTCATACAAAACGTTTACCCATCAAGATTCGTAGACAGAAACATCAAACAAAAAAGTCCAAAAGCAAGAGACACCATCCGTGCCAAAAAAGATACTTTATATGAACCTCGACTTCAAAGGAGACCTACTCAGTGACATCCTTAGAAGAAGAATATCCACCTCTTTAAGAAGAACTTTCCTTGCGGCAACGCTAAGAACAGTGTTCTCCAGTCGCCCACTGATCTACAAAAGCCCAAAGGACAAGATCCTGCGCCTGGCCACTTCTATGTATGTATATATCAGTTCACCCGTTGCTATGGAGCCAGGTACATCAGTCGTTCAACGCGCATCCTGTCAAAAAGGGTCAAAGAAAACTATCCAGCGTGGCTGCAGAAAGGAAGTAATGGCTGCATAAGGAGTGCAATAATCGAACACCTCGTCAACAGTAGTCATTCCATCTCAACAAACGCCTCATGCTTCAAAGTAATCTACAAAGTGAAGAACAACCTTCCAAAGACAGTACGATTCCGTCTTATTTGCATCGCAGAAGCCCTAGCCATTCAGCTGGAGGAATCAGAACTCTGCATACAAAAGAAAATTATTCAACCACTTCTACTCTCATGGTAACAACTTTGTTGATTTGACTTAACTTTTGTTCCTATGTTTATTTTTCTACTTAAAACCCTTGTGTAATTCCGTATATTTTGTTTCCATGTACACCCTGACCACAACTCTTTCATTAAACTATTCATGTTATTACGTAACTCTTCTTTAACAATCGTTTGTGACAACTCATCACTTTTGTTACTATCCTCTTATATCAACATCCAATTCATCTGAACTTACTAATTGTATTTTCGTTTGATAAATTTAATGTGCACACGCACATACAAAACAACCATGCATATATTTGCGATTGTACAGCTATGAAAATGAATTTGCCGCCGAAAAGAGACTCTTCGCTGAACTGCTTGTCTTCTGTCCTTAGGTATCTCTTTATCACATCTGTCTTCCCTATGTTCATCACTTGAAGTTCTGTCTTCATCTCCAGCCTCTTCTACCAATTTGTTGGTTTTCGCGTTGTTGATCTTTGAGTTTTTGTACCAATAGTGGAGTCATGTATATAAAGAGACAGAATGATAGATACAATCTAATTGGTGGACATACACACACAAAAGTAATCAGCGAATCAAACAAACTCTGTAACTACCAATCACAATCGACCTACTCAAACTGAAATTTGATTGGTGGATTGTTGTGTTAGTTATTGATTTTCAACGAATTAACAATTATCTTAACTTCAAAAGTTTCTGCCCTATAAGTTACAAAAAAGGATTGGTGAGAACATTATTTGATCGTGTAAGGAAGCTATGTTCAGAAGAAAAGATTGAGGAAGAGCTATCCATTGTGGAGAAATGCCTACGCGACAACGGTTACCCACAAAAGTTCATTGACAAGTATGGGAGACGTCATGTTGAAAAAGTGAAAATCAGCACAGTAGAGAAAAAGCCTATCTTTCTGCAGCTTGCATTCAAAGGTGATGATATTGCCAGTAGAATAAGATGCAGACTGAACGCTGCCCTGAAAAGAACATATCCAGCCGCCAAGCTTGTATGTGTTTATCAAACAACTAGTTGTTTGAGACAATCAAAAGTGGACAAGTACCCACCTCATGTTACCTCCAACTGTGTCTACCAATTTACATGTACGTGCCAAAGCACCTACATCGGAAGAACAGAGAGAAGGGTTATTGTCCGCATTTCTGAACACATACCAAAGAACCTGAGACTGATAGGTCCACAAGTATTAAACAGTGCAATTGCGCGTCATCTATTAGACACTGGTCATAATGTAGACAAATTGAAGTCATTCAAAATAATCAACAAGCAAAAGAAACCTAACTTGCTACGCTTTGCTGAAGCAATTGCTATCAGACGACTGAAACCAAATCTATGTACGCAGAAAGAGACAGTGGTGAATCTTGCACTGCCTTGGTGACAAGAAAAGAAAAAAATATATATATATATACAACAGCTTGTTTTTGTTTCTAAGCCTAATTGCCTAATTATTCTATTAATATTTATAAACTGTCAAATATTGATCACAGTTCATTTGAATTATTCTATAAATAGTCAGTGTTTGTAACTCTTAATTAGTTAAATCATTCCGGACTAATGCTACTTTTACTTCCTACCAATTACTCCTTGTGATCGTGGAAAATTATGTTCAAATCTTTAATGTAATGTAATTCATATTTTTCATCGTTCAGGTTGTAACCAGTTGAGAAGAATCCTCGAAATAATAAAAAATGAGCTCATATTATCCTGGTACAATTGTTGTTCTTGCTTTGTTCAAGTTTATTAATGGGAAGAATTGCATGAAGTTTTTGAATTAACAATCGCTGTACGCCTTCTTCTTCATTTTAGTTACATTGAGTCTTTTCTTTTTCTTCGTTTTCGCTCTCCGTATTTCCCTTAGATACGTATCAATGATACACTGTCAACTATCGCTTCATTATTTGTCAAGTATCAATTCGTGTCAGCTCTGCCTTTATTGAAATCAGTTGTTGGTCTAGTCAGAAATTTATCCACCGATGAAATGACTCGTCATGAATTGAAGTGAGTCATCCTCATTGTATTATCATTATTATTATTTGATTTGGAAACTACTACGCTACTATGGGTTGCCACCGACAATTATACATCTCATCCAACAACTGTACGACAATGCTGCATGCCAAATAATCCACAACGGGAAACTTACGGAATCCTTCGAAGTGAGGACAGGAGTAAGACAAGCTGGCTGCCTACTATCGCCAATGATTTTCCTGACTGCAGTAGACTGGATAATGCGACAGACAGTGGGCAATGAGGAAACAGGCATAAAATGGACCCACCCAAAATCTTGGAGGATCTTGACTTCGCGATTGATATATGTCTGATTTCCCACAAACTGGAAGATATGCAAGCGAAAAGCAACAAGTTGACAAAAGAAGCATCCAGAGAAGATACGATTTCAGGTGAACATAGAGAAAACAGAGTTAGGTGATGAAGATTCCTGGGCAACACCACCAACAGCAACAAGAACAACAATCAGCATAAATGGAAGGAACCTAAAGGAAAACACCTCTTTTACCTACCTTGGAAGCATCGTTTCAACTACAGGCTGACGGGACTGACGGGGATATCAAAGCAAGGATCGGAAAAGCAAGACAAGCTTTCAATACTCTCAAGTCTGTGTGGAGGTCAGCAACACTCAGCATCAAAAATAACATCTGGATTTTCAACTCCAATGTGAAGTCAGTGCTACTTGCTATGCGGATCAGAGACTTGCACTGTGCGGCATAAAGAGCATCTCAAACAAATTACAGACCTTCATTAACAGTTGTCTTCGCTCAATACTCAAGATCAGATGGCCAGAGAAGATCAGCAACAGGGATCTTTGGGAACGAACCAACCTAGCAGGAACCAATTGTGAAACAAATATGCAGAAGGAAATGGAGATGGATTGGCCATACTCTTAGGAAACCATCAAGTGAGTGACATCACTAGACAAGCCATTGCTCGAGTGGAACCCGAAAGGGAAGCGGTGAGTTGGTCGTCAGTGCAAGGGTGACTTGGAGGAGGTCAAGTGAAGAGGAGATGAAAGCGTGTGGGCAGACTTGAAGCAGGTGAAGACTGTAGCAGAGAACCGAACGCAATGGAGACGTGTGGGTGAATCCCTATGTTCCTGTAGGAATTAAAGGAAACAATAATAATAATATGTTTGAGTGCGCTATGGGCAGTCCTCTCAACCCTGTTTTAGCAGATATATTCATATTCATAACCTTGGAAGAATAAAGTTGAAGCATACAATCGACGAAACAACTTCTTACTGTCGATATGTCACAGATGACACATTTGTAATGTGCAGCAATGAAAGTCTTGCTTCCTACCTATTCAGATTATTCAATGACGCACATACCGATATTGAATTTACTATGGAACATGAAAGTGATGGAAAGTTCCATGTCCTTGACATTGTCATGTAACGCCTGGGAGATGGTAGTCTCCAGAAGTCAATTTGCTGAAAGCCTTACATGGTATGGACAATACTTACATTTTAATAGTTTTTGTGCAAATAGCTATAAGCGAGCACTAGTCAAGAATTCATACTATAGAGCGAGGAGATTATACTCTACAGAGAAATTAGATGAAGAATGTGTGTTTGTCGAAAAGATGTTGAAAAACAACGGTTACTGTCAAAGGTTCATTAACAAGTACGGAAAATCTGAAGGCTCAAATGTCAAACAAATCAATCTACATTAAACTTGATTTTAAAGGTGAAAATATTACAGTAATTGTCAACAGAAAACTGAGGACGTCACTAAACAGAGCCTATCCTTCAGCTAAGCTCTTCCCCGTCTATCAAACAACTTGCTCTTTGGTGCATTCAAAAGTCAATAGATATCCTTCTCATGTTAACTCCAACTGTATATACAAATTTACCTGTATCTGCGGAAGCAGTTACATTGGAAGAACAGAAAGAAGGGTATATCTACGATTTTTCTGAACATGTACCGAAATGCTTATGTCTAAAGGGAACAAATGCTTTAAATAGTACCATCGCCAGGTATCTCTTTGACACGGGTCATGAGGTGGACGTAGCAAGATCGTCCAAAATTATCACTAGGCAAAAGGGTTCAATTCTCCTTAAGTTTGTGGAAACAATCTCTATCAAGTGCCTGAAACCCGATTTACGCGTCCAGAAAGAAGCGATTATCAGTCTCTTCTCACCCATCCTGGTAACTGGATGTTCTCATACTCTCTTTTATCTGATTACGTAATGCCGAAAGTTTCCATTGTGTATAATCACTATTGTTTGGGATAAAGTATTTAATATTATAAATATTATTATTGCATGCATATATTGATTGATTTCTGTTTAAAAATGAACTCTGTTCAAGTATGTTAAAATTGTTTCTGTAGATATACTTAATAATGACTTTGGCCTGTAAGCAGCTGATGAGAAGCCATTGAAATAAGCGATGATGGTATCATTTTATTCTGCGAAAACCGATGTTGTTCTTGCTTTATTCAAAAAGCGACTTTATTCGACAAATGTACATCATATATAATAAATAATATATACGTTTCTCACCCACATAAAACAGAACACAGAATGGCAGCCGAATCTATACGTCAACTTCATCGACTTTGGAAAGCCTCCCTCCGTTGACATCGTTGACCGCGAAGTAATTTTTGAAACTGCTTCAACACTACGGAATACCCTAAATCTTTATCAGCCTCATCCAACAGCTATATGATGTTGATGACACATGCCTAGTGACTTACATTGGAAAATCTCAGTGAAGGCTTTGAATTCAAGACAGCAGTAAGATAATGCTGTTGTTCTTGACTGTGGTAGACTAGATCATGTAACAGACCGTGAGAAGCGAGAAGATGTTCATACGTTACACCAAGAAGAAGATGTTAGAAGATCTGAATTTCACGGAGGATTTATATCTACTGTCACACACAAAGTCGAAGATCTGCAGGCGAAGACAAACAAGTTTGTAGAAGATGCAGCAAAGACAGGAATTCAAGTGAACATGGAGAAGACAGAGATGATGAAGATACCTGACTACCAACAGTAAAAAGCACCAAACGCCACCAGCAGGAGTTATTTGAAGGAAGTCAACCATTTCACTCATCTAGGCAGCATCGTCTTAACTTTAAGTGGCATGGATGAGGATTTCAAAGCCAACCAGGTTTGGAAAAGCTAGATAGACCTGTGTTGGTCTGAAATTAGTGCGGAAATCTGCTGCACCTATCATGAAGAACAAGATTCGTATTTTCAACACTAATGTCAGTCAAGTCAGTGGTTCTTTATGATTCGGAAACCTGATGCGTCACAAAAAGCACTTTTAAACAGGCTATAGCTGGCTTCTCTCGATATTGAAGACCAGATAGCCGGTCAGGCAGGATAAACACCGAAGAACTCTGTGAATGGACCAATCAGGAACCTAGAGTACAACAAATACTCTGAAGGAAATGGAGATAGACTAGACATAGGCTATGGGGACCGTCGAATGACAGACATCATGCGATAGAGTAGAACTCGAATTGCAAACGACGAGTTGGATATGAGTCCAAGAGTGACATGGAGGAGGAGATCATGTGAGCAGAAGGAAATGAAAGCCTAAGGGCAGTCGTAGAGCCGGTTAAAAGACAACTGCACAGAGCATGGACTGCTGAATCCCTATGAACGCAAGGGAATAATAATGGTGATATGTATTAATGGGATTGGTTGTAGAGGTCGAAAACTGTCCAATAAAATTATCATGTTCACATAATAACACCAAATATTGATTTCAATTTTAGCCGTATCTTACTACAACCATAATAATAATTATTAGTCCCTTGGGTTCCGAGTGGAAAATGGGCTTCAACAACACATCTCCACCCTCTTCTATCCTCTGCTGTCCTCTTCAGTTGGATCCACGATTGCCCATAATGTCTCATCTCCTCCTCGCCACACAATCTCCTCCATGTCACCCTCTCACTGATGACCCACTCGTCGCTTCCCATTGGGATTCCACTCGAGTGATGGCGTGATGTCATTCGACGGCCTCCTCAGCCGGCGTATGCCCGACCAATCCATCTCCATTCCCTCCCACATATTTGTTGAGCTATTGGCTCTTGCTTGTTGGTTTGTTCCCAGCCAGCCAGAGTTTCTTGTTGCTAATTCTTTCTGGTCAGCCATCAGCTGGCCATTTGGTCTTCAGTATGGAGCCAGCCAGCTGAGTGGGCAGCTGTTGATAAAAGTCTGTAACTTGTTAGAGATGCTTTTCGCGACACACACGGAGTGCAAGTTTCTGACCCGTATAGAGGCAGTGACTGACTGACTGACTTCACATTTGTGTTGAACAAAATCCGAATCTTGTTGTTTATGCTGGCTGAGTGAGTGAAGCAGAAGATTTCCAAACTGGTTTCAGGTTGATGAAGGCGTATCTTGCCTTTCCGATTCTGGTTGGCTGGCTTTGACATCTTCATCCGTTATGACTGCCTGTGGTTGAAACGTGCTTCCTGGTTGGATAAGTGAAGGAAGTAACCTCTGTCAAATCTCTCCGGTTAATGGTGATTGGGGCTGATTGCTGTTGCTGTTGTTGGTGGTGTGATTGGTTATCTTCATCACCTCCATCCTCTCTATGTTCATCACCTGGAGTCCTGTCTTCGCTGCCTGCCAGTCTTACTAGAATTGCTGAGGAAATTCGCATTCTTTCATATATATTGTAATTTTCTACAAATTTTGCTCTAAAAATCGTTTTTGCGAAAGTTATTCACATCTCCTTTTATCCTTCTTACCCTTTTTTTTATACAAAAAGAAATTTAAATGTACATAGAATGATAGCGAATATTTTCTCACAAGCTTATACATCGTTGAATGAAGTTGGGAAACAAGATAGCGGTATTAGTGAACGCATCTCATCAAACGGTTATATGGAAGGTGTCAATCTTGAAGATATGCTTGAATTAACTCTTGCTGCACTACACATTATGGCTAAAGATTCAGGAGTACAAGAAGAATTAATTCATACAGCTGGTTTAGTGTCAACTGTTGTACGCGTAAGTGAATTGTATATGTCTGTTTCTGTGTGTGTGCGTGTGTGTGCGTGTAAATTGCTATTTAAGTAATATATGCGTGTTTTTTTCAAGCTTAATTGTAGAGATATTCAAGTGTTGGTTTGTAGGGGGTTGATTGGTTACAGGATTTCAACATCCCTACAAACCAACACTTGAATATCGATGAGATGCTCACTAGCGACTTGCCCTATTCAGGTAGGTAGTTACCTGGATTCTCATAGAAAGTCGTGACGAGTGGGATAAAGCAGGTCTGCTGTGAGGACAAATACTCGCCAGCGATGACATTCACTAATTGGCCGAAGTTGGAATTCATGAGTTGGCCATTGGATCGGGTCCCAGTGGCTTATTAGTCTACGAGCTCGTAGTCTTGTAACCAGTGGATCCTGGGTTCGAATCCTGGCGGTGGGTGCGTACTGATGATGAGTCCTAAACTAGGACGAAACAGCTGGTTGACCAATACTGGTTTTCCAATAGTTCTCTAACCGAGGGCAGTTCATGATGAGTGCCTGAAACCAATCAAATCCCTGCAAATCAACACGTCAATACTATTGCACTGTGGTAGTAAGTAATTCCATATTAGTTTGTTTATTAGATGTATCACACAGTCACTGAAACAGTATTATTTACTGGATGACACAGTTTCGAACACAATTTATTGTTCATAATCGTTTCATCAATTATAATCACACGACTTCGAAACTTGAGTTTTATAGTTTTCTTTGTTCTCTTCTATTTGTCGTCGTAGGCGTGGTAGTAGAATTTTCCAGATATCTGGGTGGATAGGTGATGAATCATTCCTATTACACGTATTTGCAGTTGGTTCGATAAACAAAGCTTCTATTATCAATCTCTCTCTCCACCCTGTGAAATTAGATTTTAAAACTGTCATCCGATCCCATCTTATTGTATGGTTGTGTGTAACTGCATGTAGTGCTATAGCTGAACTATTCTCTAGATTTCTAATCTTATTCGGGTCAACCAATCTAGATTTTGCTAAGTTTTTATGTTCAGCTAGTCTGATTGCCCCTGTTCTACTACTTTGACGTATGTATTTGACCTGACAATCATTACAGGCAGGGTATTATATAAACTAAATTATTTTGTTTAATTGGCTCCACAGAATTGATCCTTTAACCAACAAAGCTTGTTTCTAATTGAGTTTATGGGTGGTTTGAATGCCAGTCACTTTTATTCCTGCCTGTATTGTTAAGAATTCTGCGTAAGGTTTCCGAGGTTCCTTCCTTGTATGGAATTACTACTGATGATTTAGATTCCTTATTGTTGGTGTCGTCATTAATATTATTATTATTATCATTATTATTGTTATTATCACTATCGCTACTATCATTATTTATTCTATTTTTACATATTATTTATATAACTCTGTGTCTGAAAGCCACTGTATTAAACTTCTTTACCAATTTTGACAGAAGTCAGTCTATATGGATATTCTAGATCCAATGGCACACGATTTCCGTAGAATTAACGTCTGAGGAAAAAACGCATCATTAGTGTTATTTCAAGAGAAGAAACAGTCACCTTTTTGTCTTACTTTTCTCCTATAAGACAAACTAAGTAAGATTTTTAATGCAGATCAACAGACAATCAAACTCTTGTATAAATAAATAAATAAATAAAATTTGATTTTCGATTGTGTTTTCTTTTAAAATACTTTTCAGTTAGTTTATTCTCCATCAGTATGTCTACAGCGTGCTTCAGCTGCTTTCCTTAGCCAATTGTCAACTTCACGTTCTGGATGTCAAGCAATTGAAAATGAAGGTGCTTGCCCTAAACTCACTGAACTTATTCAATCGAATAATGAATATATTGGTGAGTCCATGGATGTTTCTGCTGTTATCTTCTACAGGTGTTTGTTTGTATGTGAATGTGGAGTGCAATGAGAGTGATCCCAATGTATTCTTGTTATAGTGTTATTTTAATACTGTTTTAACTGCTTTTATTGATGAGGAAAACGAGAATGATGCTCAGGAAGGTTTCGTGTGCTTTTGGAAGTATGTATGGGCGATGGTTGTTACTTCCTGGCTGCCCACACCGTGGAAGTTAATTTATTCTTCGAGTACCTAAAACAGAGAGAGGGTTAGTGTTGCGTGATTGCAGAACCCAGAGGACAACTGCTTGAGGCTGGTTACACACACACGGCCTGTATGAACTGGTTTCTTGGATTGATTCCGTATTAGTAAACTTACCGCCGGTTACGGACCACCGTACGGTCGAACTTTTCTAACCCTCCTCTCTATCCAGAGTAGAGAGATGGCACAGTTGGCATGCTGGTCATCTGAGAGAGACCCTCAGCATAATGTAAAGAAGGAATTCTTACACTATGCTGGTAACCACTTTTGGTCTAATCACCAAGTCAGCAACCTTCCTTGCAAGCTAGGACCTGCAGGAACAATAGTTCCAGCCAGTGTAGCTTGTTGGGTCATTGCGATATGTAAGCCCGGCGACTACCACGTCAAGGTAGCAGCTATCGGTCGGGACTGATTTTATTACAAACATTGGTTCAAGGGAGCATGGATCCATTTTATTCCGTTTTATTTCTATAGCCTCGGCAAACGGATGAAGACTCGAGCTACTTTGTCTGTTAATTTATTTTGAATGATGCCAGCACGTCTTCTCGGTGTCTTGTGTCTATCAGATGTTTGGTCATTGAAGAGCTTAAACTGTTTAGCATAGAAGGGACATGATCTTCTTCTAGATTGCAGATACACCTTGGTGGCTGATGAGTGCAGGATTGGACTTCACCGACCCCTAGATTAGAAATAGGAAGTGAAGTGGTAGAGCACGTTGACCGCTTCACTTATTTGGGAAGTACCATCAGCCCCAACATGTTGATCTCCGACGAAATCTCAGCACGAATACAGAGGGCTAGGTTCGCATATGCCAGTTTACGCCGTCTCTGGCGTAGACGTGATATCCGACTATCGACCAAAAGGCTAGTGTACGGCTCAACAGTCCGCTCCGTCCTCCTTTATGGCTGTGAGACCTGACCATTGAGAGCAGAAGGCATGGAAAGATTAGCTGTGTTCGATCATAGGTGTCTGCGTTCTATCTCCCGCGTGAAGTGGTATAATAAGGTGAGCAATACTGAGGTTAGGCGTCGAGTGCCAGGTAAGGAGGGGAAATCAATCGACGAGGCTGTGAAGCTACATCGACTGAGATGGTAAGGACATGTGTTACGTATGCCTAGTCATCGCCTTCGTTGACGGGCAATATTAGCTGATATAGGGTCAGGCTGGAAAAGAGCTAGAGGGGGTCAAACCAAAACATGGCACCAGTCAATGAAATCCACAACAGTTAGTTTAGGCCACGTAGGAAGATGTAGACTTCCTGGTTGGGGTCCTCGGGACGGTAAAAACCAATGGTTGGAAACAATTGGTGACATGGCTCAAAATCGTTCTCAGTGGCGCAGATGCATCCACTCCTTGTGACTTATGATTTCCGATGAAACTGTTCGTTCTTCGTTGTTACTATTGCTTTGTCTCACACCTCTGTTTACTGTCTATATTATGCATTTCTTCTACTTTCTTCTCTTGCTTTGTGTGCTACATGGAGTGTGGCGACTTGAACTGCCGCACATATGTGCAAAGTTCTATGTCAAAAACCGACCGACCAACCGGATGATGAGTGCCAACAAAGCGCGAAACCTACGTCCATGGGTTCCTGCCAATTGTCTCTAAATTTCACTAGATGTACTACTGAAAAGGACTATAGCATGACATTTTCGCATGAACATTTGGTTGTCACTTTTCAACTGAGCATGTCTACTATCATGCAGTTGATACTTTGGAATCCCCTAATCCATGGATTATAACATCTTTCTATTATTGACATAATATCAACGCCAGCCAATAAATACTATCAATCAGCTTCCATCTGTACCGCTTACTCGATAGACCCCACCAGTTGAAAGGTCTTGTTAGACCTTCAGGACGTTCGTCTTTATTCAGGCGAATAATATTCACACGTTATGCCATTTGCTGTTGCCTAATAACGTTTAGTTATTATAAATTCTGTGGCTAATTTCATGAGTCACTGGCCTAGCGACAGAATGCTCACCTGTCACGCAGGTGGTTCAAGTTCGATTCCCCGTTGACACACTCTTAAACCTCGCTTAGTTTACCAGTTGTGATAGTAAGCCCGGAGAAGATGTGAATGGTTAAGTGTAGGGCTAACAACCTCACCCCATCCATGAAAACAACACCACCAGCGCTACAAAAACTTTAAAAGCTTGGACTCCTGTATTCCATTCGGAATGCGAGGAATAAAATAAGAAAGTAAGATTGTGTTTTGTTACGGGATTTCATCATGAACTGACCTCGGTTAGAGAAACATTGGAAAACCACCTGGGATTACTGGACGGCTGTTTCGTCCTAGTTTGGGACTCTTTATCAGTACACACCCAGGCCCAAGTTCTCCCGGTTGCAAGGCTAGTGAGTTCGGAGGCCATTCAGCCACTGGGACCTGATCCAATGGCCAGCCCATGAATTCCAACTTCTGCCAATTCACTATACACATAGCGCTACCACTAGCTAATGTCATCACTGGCGAGTATTTGTCTTCACATTTGACCTGCTGTATCCTACTGGTCACGACTTCTCACTAGAACCCCAGGTAACTACCTACCTGAATATGGCCAGTATGTTTAACTGATGACGGTTTCTGACGGAATCTATCCTTCTTCTCGCTCCTTTGTGTTCTGAGTGGAACATAAGGCTTTAGGATCTTTACGTTTCAGGGGGGTTTTTATGAGTTTGGGGTTGCGTTATAACGTCACTGAATTGAATAAACCCTGTCGCTACTTTGTTATGTCTGCGACTGGTACGCTAATACACGTCTATTTGTCCGTTATACCTTCCGATTGACTGAGCCATGCAAATACCAAAAGACAAAGGCTGGCCTGTGACTGTAAGATATTGTATTGTACTATATTAGGAAACAACACATGATATTTATACATTTTATTTACCGTAATAAAGTTGGCTCACAGCCGTGAGAATGGATTGTTCTTATTGGTTGGAAATAGCTCTTCTCATTGGTTGACGATCCGACGAAGAGCAAGGTGAGACAAAAGACGATGAATTGATCACACAATAAATCACAATATGCGTGAGAAATGATCGATTCACATAGTAACTCCATCACAAGATAAATCGCACGATTCGTGCTGGTTCCTATCAGGTTGCTAGCCTCACACACACACCTGAACCTTCCCTCATTTCCTGGCTAAGAGAAGCTTAAGAGTGCTTCAGGCGGCGAGAATTGAACCCAAACGACCTGCCTGGCAGCTGGTAAACATCCTACTAGCGAACTGACAACTTACTGTCATATTCCTAAAAACTCAATGTTTCTATATATATAGACAAATCGACGGTGTGGCAATGGGGTCACCACTAGGACACCCATTCTAGCCGACATTTTCCTTGCGAAACTAGAAAATGGGCCTTTGAAGGATGTTATTAATGAACTTGAATTCTATTGTCGTTACATGGATGATACATTTTTGATTATGAAAAATGAGGAGGAAGCAAAGAACATCCTGGATAAATTTAACGAAGTTCATCCTGCAATAAATTTTACTATTGAGAAAGAAAAAGATTCTAGTATTTCATTTTTAGACGTCCTCATGACCAGAAAAGAGGATGGCACAATAAGAAGAAGTGTATATAGAAAACCTACATCAACGGGTCAGTATACTCATTTTTTCAGCTTTGTGCCCTTAAAATACAAACGCAATCTGATAAAGTGTTTGGTTCATAGAGCAAGAGCGATTTGCTCGGACGAATGTCTTGATGAAGAACTTAATAATATTAAACAGTTGCTAAGTGAAAATGGTTATCCTGAAAAGTTTATTGATAAGAATATGAATCTAAAACCAAAGCAGCCCAAGTTACCAACAGTTCCAAAAAAGGCCTTATTCCTTGGGCACAACACCAGTGAGATACTAACACAGCGCCTTAGAAATGCGGTAAAAAGAGCATTTCCTGCTGCCGAATTACGCTGTATCTTTAAAACCACTCCTCTTTTGTGTCCGGGATTAAAAGACAAACTGCCTAATATCGCCTCTTCCATGTGTATCTACCAATTTAAGTGCTCCTGTGGAGTGAGCCAGTTACTTAGGCCGTACAATTAGGCGTGTTTCTCGTCGAATTTCCGAACATCACCCTGCTTAGTTGGTTAAGTAAAGGACAAACAAAATCTATTCGCAGCGCTATTCTATCTCATTTTGTGGATACAGAACACAAGATTGACGTTAACCATGCTTTCAGGGTAATTTACCGCATACCTACGAACCTCAATTTTGCCTTAAGAGTTCGACTACTAAACATTGCTGAGGCTGTGGGGATCCACATTAAGAAGCCTAATTTGTGCATCCAAAAGAAGTTAGTTCAGACATTGTCCTTACCTTGGCCATCTAGGTTTGAATGATCCTGAATTTTTGTGAAATTTCCCTAATTTTAGTTGATATTCTATTTGCTACTATGTCTTTATTATTATTATAATTTAAGCATCTTTAATGAACTGTAATTCCATTGTGATCTTACTTTACAAATCGATATTATTTAAAAAACACTAATATTGTTATTGACTACTAATTTAAAATATTCTATGTATATAAACATTTATATATAATGGTAGAGCCAGAAGAGGAAATTATCGAAAAGGATATTCCTTGCTCAATTATTTTGTGTTTTATCAATGTTTCTTGTTTTGTTCCCCCCCCCCCCCCGTACTTAGCTGCATATACCGCTGCCATCTTGCATCGTATCGCTCAAGACAAGCCTGAAGCGTATAGACGTCGACTGTCGTTGGAATTACGTCAATCACTTTTTGACGGTGGACTTTTAAATGATTCCAATGAAATCGAACGAAGGATAACAAATTCTTCAAGTATACCAGATTTCCCTTCGCATGTAGTAACAGATCAACGATCACGGAATGCATCAGGTTCTTATTTAAGGCAACGTTCAGACAGGAGTTAAGAAGTGGTATTGTAGTAGTGTGATTTATATACGGTGAGTTGCACTTTTAGTAATTTAGTAGTGTGTGTGTGTGAACACATTTCATAGAATAATAAAAACACAGTTTAACAGTATGACTTACTGGCTGACGACGACTATGATGTTTCAAACGCAATTAATTATTATAATTTTTTTATTATAGCTTCATTCCACACAGTATTTTTGGTACAAGTATGGATTTTTCAACCTGTTATATTGGTAGCCCAAATTTAGCAAGCTGACCATTGAAATCGTGTGTACATCGGCCGGCGATCGAACCCCAGACCATGTGAATGGTCGGTGAGCGACCTAACCGCTGTACCATCGACGCGAATAATATTCCATTGGAACACATTTTCTTTATCACACCATTACACTCGTCCCCCCCCCCCCCCATCAAATACTTTAGACTGAAAATAGTCCGATCTTCTTGGTACTAGTGGCTTTGTTAGCTTGTCTTGCTGTATACATTTAAGCTGCTCGCCGACGTTTACCCACTTCCCTTTGTTTCCAGTTCTGATGGTATATACGTGACTCCGTCCTGCGGTTGTGGTGAGAGCTGTCTGGTAGCCAAAATTGGTAGAAAGCAATTTACATCAATGTTTACGTTGGAAATCTTGGTCATGAGAAAAAAACAAGAACAAAGACTAACTCAACAACCAGTCACAGCAAACTTAGCATGGGCGGATACGATTAGCAGATCTATCAACGGACTAAGAAACGGCCATAAAGAGATGACAGAAGACGTTACCTCTCTGGTAATAATAACGAATAATAATGTACATAAAAATCTACAAATATCTCTTGATTTTCTCAATAAAAGATCTGTTGCCTAGCAATTGTCTTCTGTCGTTGCACGGTGACCGTGTATGGTCCTTCCCCCTTTGAAAGCAGTTCGCGCGACCCTGACGCGTATTCACTGGTGTTCCGCCTCACACTATCCTATGCTACCTTCGCCCGACCTCTCAGCGGAGTTCCAAGTAAAAGTGTCTTCGCTGACGGATCTTCAACGCCATTCAACACCACAACAGCCTCAAAGTCCTGCAAGAAAATCCATATGTATCCTTCTTCAAAAACTGTAGGGCATACGCTTTCCATTTGTCGGCAGGGAGTGACACCAAATCTAACAGCAGAAGGCAAGACACCGAAACCAAAGTATATTTTCAAGTGATCAAACAGCTATTTATATCTATACAGTTTTATATTCTTTAACCAATCATTGAGAGTGTGATTTTGGTTTAACATTACGCTGTATGAAATAGAATGTTCAAATATACATATATTGTATTCTGTTGCTAATGCACTATTGAACTGTGGGAACAGTATTCAGACGTTAACACCAACAAATAAAGTGATTCTTATTGTTAGAATAATATTCCTTTGGAACCCATTGTCTGTATCACACCACCACAGTATCACTTCATTCACATTTGTTGAAGGTATAGTGGAATTTTCCAGACGTCCGGGACAGATACACTGAATCATTCCTATGACGGAGTGTTACTGTTTTTGTGGTTGTTGTCTGTCGTGACTACAATGCATCTCCAGACACGACACACAATAACCATCCTCCACACACTGAAATAGATTCAACCGTGACGAAAACGACGTTTATCAGAAAAAATGTGTGGTACATATATATTTTTGTGCAAATTCGAATTAGTGATATTCAATGTCACAACTGCCTGCAATTTGACTCCACAGAAGTTACCATAGATATTCATGAAAAAAAGACATAAATGGTGATTTAGGGCGACCACCAACCAATATCATCGACAAGAAATTCATTCTTACAGTTGACTGGATGCACCTCACTGGTCACGACTTTTCACTAGAACTCCAACCTGCAGCAATTCACTAGCGAGCATCAGATTAATTTGTAAGGATTACGATTTGTTTTACGAGTTTGACCACGGATTGATATCAGTTATAGAACTATTGAAAACCACCCCTAAGAAGTACTGGACAGTTGTTTCATCCTAGTTTGGGAGTCATCGACAGTGCGTACCCACTGGGGTTTGAACCCAGGACGTTCTAGTTACAAGACAAGCTTGTATACCATTCAGCCACTGAGACCCGATTCTTTGGCCAACCCATGAATTCTAGCTTCTACCAGTACGTGATTTCAACGCAACCACCAACCCATGTCATCGGTGGGAAATCCATCCTCACTCCCTACTGGAATGACCTCACTGGTCACGACTTATAACCCTCGAAAATTAACCTGATGCTTGCTAGTTACTTGATACAGGATCGGGTCTTAGTAGTTGAATGGTATACGAGCTTGCCTTGTAAACAGAAGGTCCTGGATTCGAACCCCAATGACTGCGTACTGTCGATGATTCCCAAACTAGGCTGACGAAACAGCTGACTGTCCAGTACTCCCTGACTGGTTTTCAAAGGTTCTCTAACTGATATCAATTCATGGTCAAACTCGAAGACATGTTCGTTCTTTCTCTCTTCAAACTAATAAAGGGAACCGGTTGCATGAAATTCTTGAAATATATATATGTATATGTATATATATATATATATATATATATATATATATATATAGTTGTTCTATGCTTTCCAAATAAAAAATAGGTCCTTAGAGGCACAATATCCATTCTAATCGGTTCTGTAAGAACACTTTCAGCTAGCTGCAAGACAACTGCTCACAAGCTTTCATTTTCCTCCTCAGGTGATCTCCTCCTTATCACCCTCGAACATATACTCAATTCACAGAAATGTTGAAGCGGTATATTCATTTATTCCACTGGATATCCCATGGCGCATGACGCCAGTTGGCGTTCTCTTCAGCATATGTCCAACAATCCACCTGCCTTTCCTCCAGTGACACTTTGTTGTACACTTATCATTGCTGTTGTTTTTCGAACAGCACTCAAAATCATCTTTAATTGGTATTGTTTTCTTTTTATTTCTCTGGTTTCCAGAATCCCGAAAAAATTTCACGCTGATCCGTTTTCAAACTGTCAACCAGCAAACATATCATTCTCTAATAATATTGATTGGAAAATATACAACGATAAGTGCACTCACTGTAAACGCTGCTCAGTCCCCTAATCCAGCTGGCTGAAACGATGGCCAGATACATGGCTGCCTTCCAATCTATCTTTCTTTATTTTATATTGTATGATTTCTTGATTACAACTTTATAATATCCTTGATTTTTTTTATTAAATAAAATTAAAAAAATCACACGATAGAACGAATAGTTTTATGCCTTTCTTCAGTGTTTTTCCTACCAGAGGACTTCTTCTTACGATAAATGGTAGGTTGATCATGCTATACGTATAGTATAAGTGAAGATTTACATAAAAGAGTCGTTTGAACACCTTGACGGGTAGCAATCTTCAAATAAATGTTTAGTGAACAAAGAGTACTCTTTTCGAAAACTCCTTCATCGTTAGGTTCTACAATTATATGCATCCATAATGAATGAATTAGTGTTATTGTTAACAAGATTAATCTTGTTTAAATAACATCGAATCAATAATAATAGTAATATCAATGGATTACAGTTCTATAGCATCAACATAACACTAAAGTGAATGAATATCAGAGAAATTAGGAAAGATAATAATACAAATTCGTGAGTTTATAGTCTCCACTGAAGGCTAACCAGGGCAGTAGAAATGACTAGCTGGACTTGTTTCTTTTGCACACAAAGCACCTGTTGTCTGGGGCGAATCGCGATAGCCCCTGCTGTCCAGAGTATGCAGCACCTCCTTGTTTTTGGAAATTTATTTGGTACCCGGCAGATGATAGAGAAGGATTGTTCAATGCTGGCTTTGTGGTCGGTTTGGACCAGGTGGTCTAATACCGAACTGTTGATGATTTTCACTACACGTTTACTTAGCCATAGTGGTAGATGTTCCCGTACACGAAAAATCAAGTTCCTAGAGTAACGGACAATATAACCCGCTCCACAAGCGCAATTGAATTGGTAGTTACAATTAGGAATGTCTACTATGGGTACTTCATCTTTCAAGCGAAAAATCACCATCGCTCGTGTAGAAAATAAGACTTGTAGTTTGTCAGCATTAAAAGTTCTTTGAACTGATTTTCTTAACTTCTTCGTAATTATTTCGCTAGGTGTATCGCCCCTGAATTGCAGTCGTATATAAAGAGGCTTCTTGTTTACGGATAGTGAGTCGTCCTTTTCAACTTCCTGATGAATTTGTCTGGATAACTATTTTCGATCAAGGTGTCATATGAGTCCTTAGTTCATCTTCAGTTAACTCTTCTGAGTACATAGCTCTAACGCTAAGACTGAAGGTCCTTACTAAATTTCTTTTGTACTTGAGAGTAACGAAGCTGTGAAAATGGGTGTACTGTCTTGTCCATGTGCTTTTCCTATGTGAATTTCTCTTTGTACTGTCATCTGGTTTTCTTGTAAGGAGGACATCTAGGAAGGCAGTTTTATTTTAGGATTCTTCTTCACACGTTAATTTCATAGCAGAATGTACTTCATTGAATCGAGGTATTATTATGTTCTTATCCAAATCATTATGACAAAGAATAAAGGTGTCAGCTATATACCGGCAATAAAATGGGAATTTTCTGATAAGGTAGTCGAAAGGACCACTTTCTAGAAATCTGGCAAAATGGGGAGCCCATTGCCATCCCATCCATTTGTCAGTGAAGTGTGCCATCTTCGAATGTTCGGCATCCGATTAGCTCCTAAATTAGGTAAGATGATGCTACAGGACTGCACTACCTTTACTCCTAGCTTATAGATAGGCAAGAGTGAAGTACTAGAGCGTGATAAACACTTCACTTATTTAGAAAGTTGCGTCAGCCAGCCACAGCGGGTTGATCACTGACTAAATAACAGCACGGATACAGAAGGCTCGTTCGACATTTGCCAACAACTTCCGCCATATCTAGCTTGGTAGACCTGATATCCGGCTGGCTGGCTGCTGTCGATCAAATGACGTGTGCACTGAACAGCAGCAGTTCCCTCACTCCGTCCTCCTTTATGGCTGCGAATGGCACATGACCATTGAAAGTGGAAAACATGAAAGCTTGGCTAGCTAGCTGTCTTTGATCATAGGTGTGTTAGGTGGTGGTGGTATAATATGGTGAGTAATATTGAGTTGGTTAGGAATCAGTCGAGTGCTAGGTAGGTGGGAGGAGAAATGAATCGACGAGGTTGTGAAGTTACATTGATTGAGAGAGAGAGATGGTCATGACATGTGTTACGCATGCATGCCTAACCATTGATCGCCTCCCTCGATAATGGGCAATCTTAGCTGATATAGGATGGATCAGGTTGGAAAAGAGCTATCACGTGGTGGTCGAACCAAACCATGGCTTCATCAGTCAATCAAATCCATAATAGTTAGTTCAAGCCAGCCAGCCACGTAGGGAGGTGGAGATTTCTTCACGGACTAGTTGGGGTCTTCGAGATAGTATAAGAGCCAATGAAGGCTGTAGACAATTGGTGATATGGCTGAAAATCGTTCTCAATGGCTGGCGTAGATGCATTCACTCACTCTTTGTGATTTGTCATATCCAATCAAAGTACTCTATTGTTCTTCCATATTACTACTATACTTTTTCCCTCACTCACACTTCTGTTTATTATCTCTCCTTACTCTTTTCTCTTGCTTTGTGTACTACATGGAGGGAGGGTAGCAACTCGACCTGGTGCGCATCTGTGAAAAGTTCTACGCTGAAACTAGTCAGTCAGCAAACTAAAGTATATCATTGGATGCAGTGATGTTCGATCTGCGGATTAAATAATCTCTGATGATATTTTTACTTCATCAGCGAGAAAGGCGCACTAAGACTGGAAGTCATCGGGATTTGAACACTAGACCTTCCATTTACAAGGAAAGGTCATAGGTCATTCAGCCGCTGGAACCGTGATGAATGATCCATGATTTGTAATCTATCTCTTATAAAATTCGTGATTTCAACGCGACTGGTCAGCCAATGTCATCGTTGGGGAGGATTTGTCCTCACACCCGACAGGTTGGTGAACCCCACTGGTCACTTCTCACTGGAACTCCAGGTAACATCGTCCTGTAGGTAGTTACTAGCGGGCAACAGTTAGTTGTTCAGTACTCACTCCTACTGGTTTTGAGTGGTTTTCTAACTGACATCACATCCCTACACAAAGTAAGTGTTCAAAAAAAAATTCGATACATTACGTTAAATGAAAATTTAGATAACTCGACAGTGGTTTCAACAGGCTACCGAAACTGAACTTTTGGCCAGTATGTGAAAGTGATTAATAGTAACGGCAACTTCAACTCAATTTGAACTTCTCGGTTAACTGATTGGACCGAAGTGCTTGGACTCCGGTTGACATGTCATCCTGCTTGTGTAGACGCTTCGACGATGTCTGATTATTTAACTTGAAGTAACTTTTGTGGAATGCTCGCCGACTACGCAGGCGGTCAGGGGTTCGATTCCCGGCCAATGCACTCCTTTACATCGCTAAGCCTTTAATAATAAGACTGGTAAAGAGGGAATGTTGGGCATGAAGCTGGCTAACAACCCCATCCCGTAAAGATAAACACCACTGCTACCGAAACCTCAAGCCTCTAACTTGAAGCCCACTGGGAACGTAAAGGAATAAAAAACATTTTTTGTGGATGATGACTGGTAGTGGATGGAATCCAAGGTGTGCATTTCGTCCTTCTCGGGGCTCATCAGCCAGTGGATGTACCTGCATTCCCCAGTCAGTAGTGAGTGATGGTGTACCCCCTCCACTGAGGCTCGAACCCAGTGCACCCATAGTCTCAAAAGCCAAAGCACTATCCATTGAACCATTTGGGCCACCTCTTTTTTGTGCAACAGGTGTATCAGTGTAATTATTTAATTCCATTCGAACTTTCCTACTGATTGATTTGACCGAGGCTGACGAGTCCCGAATGGGACGAAATGAGCAACCTATATTCCACTGCTAGACACCATTTACCAAAATTATTTCAGTAACAGCAAACTTATTTAGCTGAATAGCGTACCATACACGAATGAAACGATTATGACGCAACTAATCTACCTAGAACTAGCCTAAGCGAGAATGCCATGATAAGTTAAGCAAAAAATAAATTGAGACATGTACTGGTAACCCGCTTTCAACCAAATCATACATAGTTTTAACAATATCAGTCAGTAAAAAAGAAATATATATATATCATGTATCATGTACAAAATGTTTCCAAATATGTACATATATCTATATATTTGTATGAAGTAATCAATGTTTCTGCATCAACTGATGTAACAATTGATCCGGTGGTGGTGCTGTATATATTGGATACTGACTAATCTGTTTGAGTGTATTCTCCAGTTGTTGATCTGCATCACATTTTCGTTTAGCTGGTCTTGATCGACCATTGAATTGAACTGGAGATGCAGCATCGACTAGTTGTAGTAGGCCTTGTTTTGATTGTTTGCTGAGATGCGGAGGTGGTTCTGTTTCACTCTGGAGTAATAATAAGGATTACACACACAAAAAAAACAAGAGATGTAGATATCAATTTGTCTGAAATTAGCTCATATTAAATTAAGTATACTTAGTAAGTATGTAACATAAGAAGCGTTAATCGAGTTGGAAGTAAAATAAAATTGAATAAGTAAATTCAGTGACGTAACATAACTGGTGTTCAAGGGAACCAGGGAGGAGAAACAAATAAAACAATGGGCTGATCACTTTAAAGGACTCTTGAATCGACCATCACCTGTAACTCGCCCATAAATACCACCACCGCCAACAACACGCACAGAACTGCCTGCCATTGGACACCAGTCCTCCAACGAAAGCAGAAATACTACATGCGATCAAGTTACTGAAAGCCGGTCGGGAAGGCAGCAGCACCCGACGGAATTTACCCCTCCCGAAGCACTGAAAATGGACGCAGAGACTGCGGTAGATGCTCTCACACCATTATTGCAAAAGGTTAGGAAAGAGGGAAAGGTACCTATCGATTGGAAATAAAGCCGGCTACCTCGTCAAGCTGAAAAAGAAGGGCGATTTAAGCCTCACTCTGCAAGAACTGGCGTGTAATAATGCTCTTCTCCACCAACGCCAAGTAAAATACTAAGTCGCATCATCCTGGAGAGAATAAACGATACACAACTCTGCCCCACCGACCAGGACAAGCTGGATTCAGGAAAGGCAAATCATGTGCTGATCAAATTGCAACTCGACGCATCGTTATCGGACAAAGCATAGAATAGCAGTCAAATCTCATTCCACCTCAACTTTGTCGACTTCGAAACGACCTTCGACAGCGTTGACCGAAAAGTAATTCGGAAACTACTTCAACACTACGGCGTGCAGTGCCTCAAGTCTTTATCAACCTCATTCAACAGCTGGTTATATGACAATGCCACGTGTCAGGTGATCCACAACAGAAAACTCGGCGAGGCGTTCGAAGTAAATACAGGAGTAAGACAAGGCGACGAGTGGGTCGTCATATCAAGGGTGACATGGAGGAGATGAGAGATTATGGTCAATCGTGGACCCAGCTGAAGAGGACGGCAGAACAGAGTGGAGAAGTTCTGTTGAAGCCCTATGTTCCACTCGGAACCCAAGGGAATAATAATAACATAACTGACGCAATTGAGTAGAATTCAAATAAAAATTGAACGAGAGTCAAGTTAACAACAGTGGTAATAACGGCTAGAAATTTAACAGGGAGTGAAGAGAGAAAATAATACAACTTAAAAGAAAATACAGAACACAAAAATTACGCATTGGGTGTTAGGACGTTTCAGGTGCATTGAAGATTTAGTGACTGAACAAACTTCTTCTGTATGCAGAGTTCAGGATTTCACATGTGAATTGCCATTGCTTCTGTGGGGTTTGAAGAAGGTTGATTCGTACTCCTTTAGCAAGATTCCCACTTATTCTGTAAATAACTTTGAAGTTGGTTTGTGGATTAGTTGCTGCTCCAGAATAGAGCTGTGACAGGAGCATCATTTTTCTTCTTTATAAAACCATAAAGGTAAGTGTTCGAGGATACGCTGAGGATGGCGGACGTACCTAGATCATCAGGAGCTGGTAAAGTGATTAATGCACATTGGATGAGGCCAACCAGCCATGGTTGCGTATCCTTCACGTGTTCCTGGGAATCATTGGTTTTATGGAGAAATTTATTCCAAGTTAATTGGTCGATGGTGACTAGCAGTGGAATCAAGGATGCGCATTTCGTCCCATTTGGGACTCGTCATCAGCTGGATGTACCTGCATTCCCCAGTAAGTGAGTGATGATGTTCCCACCAAGGCACATTCAGATGACGAGTCCCAAATAGGACGAAACGCGCATCCTGATGGATTCCACTGCTAGTCACCATCGACCAATTAACTTCTAATTATATGCCCAGACATTGTCGGAGCATCTGCACAAGAAGCTGGCATGTCAACCTGAAACCAAGTACTTCGGTCCAATCAATTGACGGGAAAATCTAAAATTGAACTAAATAAAGTCATTCGAAGTTCCCCTGCGAAGGTTTTCTTGAATGAATACAACAGACAGTTCCTCAGTATTTCTGCCAATGAGCCTCCAATGAATTGTAGATTCGCATAGAGGAGTCTTTTAGGAGCAGAAAGCGTGTAATGAAACGCACCCGGCGTACTATGGACCTATTTGAATTTCCGCCCCTTGTTACCATTGTCATTTTAAACGTGATTGTTGCTCGATTTTAGTTGAGTCCTAATCAATCGCGTCAATTATATTTACGTCACTGAATTTATTTATACTTTGCAATTATCGAGCACACAACAATACAATAACTTACTGAGCATTTCTGTCCTTTCCGCATGCCATAATAAACTAGATCACGACGTCCAGTTTCTCGCCCGACTGTAGTTTTCATAATACCGACTAGTTGAATTCCTTCCTTGTCAAGTTGACCATCCTCCTCCCCATCCTTCTCATCGGCATCATCATGGTCTTTCGAGGGAATAAAATTCAGCGAGATAACCTGTGTCCCACTAGATTTCTTCTTATTCTTCTCTCTGTTCTTCACTCCACCTTTATGCTTACGATCACATAATGGTTGAGCAGGTAAGCTGGGTAGATTGTGAGTTAACTGTAACTTGACATCGGAATCCAATTGGAGTTTATATACAGCGACTGAAATGTGAAAATATACACATATATAACAAAAACCAGTTGTATAACAAACAATTTACTCGTGAGCAATGAATGAGAAGTGGTTATGTGTATGTATATTCGCGCATCACAGACTGAAATCATCAACATACCACCATAATCAGGCCTCTAGATAACATTGAAATTCTACATTTTGTAACCTGCCGGTAGGTTTTCGACATAGAACTTTGCACATATGTGCGGCATTTCAAGTCGCCACACTCCATGTAGCACACAAAGCAAGAGAAGAAAGTAGAAGAAATGCATAATATAGACAGTAAACAGAGGTGTGAGACAAAGGAATAGTAATAACGAAGAACAATATAGTTTCATTGAAAATCATAACTCACAAGGAGTGGATGCATCTGCGCTATGCATTGAGAACGATTTTGAGCCATGTCACCAATTGTTTCCAACCACTGGTTTTTACCGTCCCAAGGACCCCAACCAGGAAGTCTACACCTTCCTACGTGGCTGGCGTAAACTAACTGTTGTAGATTTCATTGACTGGTTCCATGTTTTAGTTTGACCGCCGCTAGCTCTTTTCCAGCCTGACCCTATATCAGCTAACATTGCCCGTCGAGGAAGGCGATGACTAGGCATACGTAGCACATGTCCTAACCATCTCAGTCGATGTAATTTCACAGCCTCGTCAACTGATTTCCCCTCCCACCTACCTAGCACTCGACGCCTAACCTCTATATTGCTCATCTTATTATATCACTTCACGCGAAAGATAGGACGCAGACACCTATGATCAAAGACAGATAATCTTTTCATGTCTTCCACTCTCAATGGCCAGGTCTCACATCCATAAAGGAGGACGGAGCGGACTGATGAGCAGTACACACGTCCTTTGGTCGATAGCCAGTCGGATATCACGTCTACGCTAGAGACGGCGTAATCTGGCATATGCGAAACTAGCCCTCTGTATTCGTACTGAGATTTCGTCAGAGATCAACCCATTGGGGCTGATGGTACCTCCCAAATAAGTGAAGCGGTCAACGTGCTCTACCACTTCACTTCCTATTTCTAATCTAGGGGTAGGTGTAGTTCAATCCTGCAACATCACCTTACATTTTACAGAGGCGAATCGCATGCCAAACATTTTGTAACCAGCTGCGTACATATATTAATATCCAGGTAACGTCATCATCGTTCTCACCGACTGTTTAGTTCGCGTAAGTACACAGTGGCACCAATTGACTGGTCACCAGCATACTTAGTGCTGACTGAATTCCATCAATCAAGAGGCGATATGCGAGTATCGTTGTTTCTAGGTTTCATGTTTTTCAGCACTCGTCAGCAAGCCACATATACATTACTAAAGGAAGTGACGTCTGCACAGGGATTCAAACCTGCAAATAGCTTAGGAGTAACGTATGCGCATGCAGCACCAAGTGATATATATATATATATATATGTGTGTACAAAGTCGAAGACTTGCAGGCGAAAACCAACAAACAGGCAGAAGCGGCTGTCAGCGAAAACAGGACTTCAGGTGAACATAGAGAATAATTCCATTGTGGCTTCTAGTATTATATCAATGTAATATAGAGAAGACGGAGATGATGAAGATAACCAACCACCACTAACAGTAACAACAAACAGCGGCAATCACCATCAACAGGAGAGATTTGACAGAGGTTATTTCCTTCAGTTATCAGGCCAGGAAGCACGTTTCAAACACAGGCAGTCGGTACGGGGTCTGTAGGAAACGTTGTACTGCTGGGAAATAGGGATGTAAGAGCAGTAAGGTGTTTCCCTCAGATGACCAGCATGCCAGATATGTTGCCTCTCTGTTTTGGAGAGAGAGAGAGAGTTAGAAAAGGTCGACCCCGAAAATTGCACATCCCGACTTACCGTACGGTGATCCGTAACCGGCGGTAAGTTACTAATACGGAAAAAAACCAATAAGCCAGTTCAGACATGCCGTGTGTGACCGGCCTCTAGCAGTTGTCCCCTGGTCTCTGCACTCACACAACAATAATTCTCTTTCCGTTTCAGGTACCCCACGGTGTGGGCAACCGGGAAGTAACAATCGCCAAACACACACACTTCGAAAAGCACATGAAGCCTTCTTGACGAACCAAGAAAGAACCAATTGACCAAAAAGTATTCCGAAGAGAATAGAAACGACGATTTGGGCGTTAGTCGGAGGGTGACATGTAGAGGAGATCGTATGAGGGTGAACTGAGAGTTCATGGGTTATCGTGGAACCACTTAAGAATCCACTTCAGATGATGTAAGATGAAATGGAGATGTGATGTTGAAAGCCTATGTTCCATGTTCCACTCAGAACCGAAGGGAATAATAGGAGTATTAACAATAATGCAATGCAGTTGGCACTGAGCGACACATACTTTGTACGACTTCATGATACTACCTAAATAGTAGATAGGCTTAAAGGGTTCTGAGCAGCTTTTATCGAGTGTTTCGAAGTTGAGTGCCTAGAACCACATTGCTTTGATAGCAAATCGAATTACGCGTTAAAGACACCCCGTGACTTTATACCATAAATTTTCGTGAGTAATCATAAAGCAACGTATGGCATTGATTACGTCAAAGAAAAAAAATACATCTATCACAAATATACCATACAAAATCAACTCACCTGTTCCATCTTGTAAACCTATAGCTATGCAAGATTTACTCGGATGAGAAGTCATGCATGTTGCATACACATTAGGAATGATTGATACAACTTCTAAACTCATAGGTGTACACTTGATGAGACAGAGAGCTGAATAGAGTTTACGCCCTTCGGCTGATCTACTACCTTGAGTACGAATTGTAACAGCGATGTAATGAGTATCAGTAGGACAATCCGATGGAGCGGTGACAACAACAGTGCAATTGTCAATAAAACTCTTTTTACAATCTGGCCATATTTGTAATAGATTATTTTTTAATTGAAGATTAGCAGTATGGTTTGGATGACCTGAGAGAGAAAAAAGAAGTTTTAAATCCATAAACGTACACAAAAACACAGAATAAAGGGAATGCTATGCTTGCTTAATCGGCAAAGTTAAACTTTATGCACCACTAACTACCACCAATCAGCGAATGACCTTGAACATACCCACCAATCACATGAAGAAGGCATTTTTGGTTATGAAAAACATATATTTATGAGAAAAAAATTCATAGAAACTGCAAAAAAATATAAAAACATCTCCCAGTTGAGCATAGGAGTATCAACTGAAAAGTGCATATGTTCATCCCCAAATGACTATAAATAACATCCCTTTGAGATCCATTAATGGCCCTAATCCTGTGTTTAACCTTCCCCAAGAGCTTTCTATAGAACTGATATGTGTCCCTTTAATGGAATCCACTAAAATCACTAGAATGGTTCACTCTGTAGTGAATATATATCCAAAGGATGATGGATAGATATAACCTTTCCGGCTGCGTTGAAAACCACTAACTAACAAACATACAAAATATGGGTTAAGGACAAGTGGGACCTGGTGAAAAAATATTCCTACGAAATATGAGAATAATCAGCTTACCTTCCCTGATATTTGACTCGAATCAAGCGGAATAGAACCTTCAATTCACATGGATGAAACTCATTGAGGCATTCAGGGTCATTCGCTGATTGGTAGTTTGTGGTGCTTTAAGTTTAACTTGGCCGAATAGTCGACATCGTCATTACTACTACAACAAAAATACGGTCTATTATTGATTTATTCGAATGGTCTAGACTGGCTTTCCCCATTGTGGCGTGTGTTACTGGTAAGATTTATCAGTAGTATATAAACGAAGAGAAGTTCATCGGCAAAAAATATCAAATAGCCGGGAGATAGATTTGATGTCAGAGAAAGCAAATGACACAGCATTGTGGAGCATACATGGGAGACGTGAAAGGAACACAAAGAAACACAATAGGAGGGAAGGCCAGAAGTAACACAACACGGAAGATTTGTGCAAATGGTGCGTTGAAGATGAATAAGGTGTACGTCATTTAGCTGTATAGAGATACCGAATTCCAAATAAACACTCCTTTATCGAACCTCTTGTCTTCTACCATAACGCCACTATCATTATTTCCTTTAATTCCTAGAGGAACACAAAGATTTGACTACACGTCTCCATTGCGTTCGGTGGATTGGAGAGAAATACTCGGCCTCAGGTTGATATATTGGCAACTCCTTGTGGTATATGAGAACCAATGATTTAGCTTGAAGTTAATAGGTGGATGGTGATTAGCAGTAGTGGAATCCATCAGGAAACAACACCACCAGTGACTGGGGAATGCGAATACATCCACTAGCTGACGACTAGTCGCAAATAAGACGAAATGCTCATCCTGGTGGATTCCACCGCTAGTCACCATCCACCAATTTACTTCAAGTTAAATTATCAGACCTCGTTGAAACATCTGGCACAAGAAGTCGCCAAAATTCCAACCTGAGGCCTTCAACTTCGGTTCAATCAATCAACGGGAAGGCGGTAGGATTGAATCAAATAATCAAATTCTAAATGTAAGAGAAAAAGCCTAGAACCTTCCTAAACAGCTTATAACGCCAACTTACTTTGTATAACAAGTTGTTCCCAATTGAAAAGAGTTAAACTGGCACCTGAACAAATCAGTAAATAGTTCAACGGTTCAACTGTCTGATTATTATTCATATTAAAAGTGATAATTGTTGAGATAGGTCGCATTGTTGACTCAAATGGATTAGCACGTGTTAATAAATGACACGATGATGGAATCCATGGTGAATAGAGGGGATGTTTCTCTGGAGAGAGAAAAAAAAAAGAAGATACATACATACAATCCACTATGAGATATGAGCAAAATAAATACTCTTAACGAATCTATTGACGAAATTCAGGCAGTCAGTATTAAAAAAATGCAAAGGGTGAGAAGTAGCGTAACGCTAAATTTGCCGTGATGAGGTTGGAGTCTAGAATCCAGTCGAGTGTTCACACGAAACAGCCATACACACATACACAAATACACCGTGGATGATTGAAGCCCACTGCTGAACAGTCCCTGCAACTAGAATGAAACAGCACTCCAATCCTCCTGAATGAAAATCAGGAAACTGTGTCACTTAGAGTAGTATCTTTACTAGTCAGTGTAACCTCTCGGAATTCAATATTTTCTGACACAGCGTCATTCTATCTGCTGATCTTTCCTGGTCGTCTCATATCTTGGCGATTTCTAAGAAAATATTCCGTCTTACCTTCTACATCAAGAAGTTAAGACATTCTGGTATAACCCAACTCACACCACCCTCTTCACTCACAACTCTCCCCTTGCCTATATAGAAAACTATATGCTCGCACCAGCAAGTACAAAAACTCAACCATACCCTACTTAGCTCGTGTTCTGTGCGATAAAGAAAGCATTAGGCGTGACACCTATAACTTATTAAATAGTCAGTAGAACAACTGGACCTCGTCTTTCCAACTCATATCATTTATAGGTACAACATTTTCTTTCTTTCTTTTCCTTTTCTCTTTTTTCGTTATGTGCTGCTTTGTTTCTTTCTTCCGCTTACGCCAGTAAATATGACAGCACCTACTTTTCTAACACCTTCAAACACTGTTCAACTTTGGCTTTGCTACCAACATGCCAATATGTTGTTGTCATAATGAATTGAGATTTCCTTAATCTATGTAGAATTCTATTTATTGATAATGTACTAACTGGATGCAATACTGTTGTGAAATGCTGAGAATTCCATTCTGTATCACAAGTACTGTTTTGGAATAAAGCAAATTATTATTATTATTGTAGATAATGCCTTTTTATCTAAGACAACGGATGACTATTTCAAGTCCTACTGGGAACAATATAACTCTTGGGGATGAAGGTAAATTCAGGTGGTGAAACACACACAAACACACCTACAAATAAGGCTAAATGCGCTTACTACTATTACCATAGATCGTCAGTGGTTAAATCGTACAGATTCTCTCCAATGATGCACGGCGTCCTGGCTGACGCACTTTTAAGCCTTGCCTGCCTAATTTAATAGCCTAAGGTAGGCTCGGAAAAGTATGGGAGGCTGAGCATCAGGGTATTAATCCCATCTAGTAAAACAACAACAACAACAACGACAATACCACCGCTACTCAAACTTCAAGAACTTTAAACCTTATGCTCCAATCTTAACGCAAACGAATGAAGGTGTGTAGTTCAAGTAGAGAGCTATTTTAGTGCTTTTGTGCTCCCTGACTTGGATAGTATAGCTAAAACTGCTTTTCTTTCATCTTCCTCCTAGAAAATAAATCCTCAATGCTAACTTCAACGTCAAGTAGGCTTTGAGAGCTCCCCATCGATGAAATATTCAATCTCCTCCACAATGACTTCGATTCGAGACTGTGGTTAACTAGTCAGTCAGCGGAGACATTTCCCCCCCTACAGAAAGACACTTCTCCCAACAATGAATTATTATTTATTATTCTTCCCTTAGGTTTCGAGTAGGAAATAGGCCTTCAACAACACATCTCCACTTTCTTCTATCCTCTGCTGTCCTCTTCAGCTGAGTCCACGATTGCCCACAATCTCTCAACTCCTCCTCATCACACTATCTCTCTTCCATGTCACCCTGGCGCTGACGACCCACTCATCACTTCCCATTCAGATTCCACTCGAGCAATGACCTGAATTGAGCGCAATGTCAATCGACGGCCTCCTCAATATATGACCGATCAATCTATTTCCATTATCTGATACATATTTGTTGAGCAAGCTGGTTAGTTGAAATCGTGCTTCCTAGATAAGTGAAGGAGGTAACATTTTTCAAATTTCTTCCGTTGGCAGTGATTGATGCTGGTTGTTGTTGCTGTTGGTTGGTTGGTTATCTTCATCAACTCCGTCTTCTCCATGTTCATCACCTGGAGTACTGTCTGCGCTACCTGCCCTGCCTCTTCAGCCAGTTTTTTTGGTTTTTGTCTGTAAGTCTTTGAGTTTATGTGACACTAGATTTACATCATCTGCGAAATATAGATCTTTGAGAGTCTTCTGATCGGTCTGTCCGCAGTATTTCTGTCTTCTCACTCCCTGTTCACAGTCTGACGCATAACCCAGTCTACCACAATTAAGAATATCATCGGTGATAATAGGCAACCAACTTGTCTTACTGATGTCTTCACTTCAAACACCTCGCTGAGTTTTCCGTTGTGGATCACCTGACACGTGGCAGTTATTGTCATATAACGAGCTGTTCAATGAGGTTGATAAAGACTTGGGGCACTGCACGCCATAATGCTGAAGGAGTTTCCAAATTACTTCTCGGTCAACGCAGCCAATTCAAGGCTTTTTCGAAGTCAATGAAGTTGAAGTAAGGAGAGGTTTGACTGCTATTCTATGCTTTATTTTGTGATGACGATGCGTAGAGTTGTAATTTAATCGGCACATGATTTGCCTATCCTGAATCCAGCTTGTTCTTGTTGGTGGGGCGGAGTTCTGCATCCAGTGCATCTTTTATTCTTCTCTCTAGGATGATGCGACTTAGTATTTTACTTGGCGTGAACAACAGCATTATTCCACGCCAGTTCTTGCGGAGTGAGGCTTAAGTAGCCCTTCTTTGTCAGCTTGACAAGGTAGGCAGCCTTACTTCCAATCGGTAGGCACCTTTCCTTCTTTCCAAACCTTTTGCAATAATGGGGTGAGCACATCACCGGAAGTCTCAGGGTCCGTTTTCAGTGCTTCGAGGTGAGAGAATTCCGTCTGGTCGTGCCGCTTTCTTGGTTGGCCTTCAGTAGCTTGGTCGCATTCAAGATTTCTGCTTTCGTTGGAGGATAGGTGTCCACTGACAGGCAATTCTGTGCGTGCTCTTAGTGGTGATGGTTGATTCAAGAGTCCTTTGAAGTGATCAGCCTATTGTTTTATTTGTTTCTCCTCCTTGGTAATCAGGTTCCATTGCGCAACATTTATCATCATCTGTTTCATCATCTGGGTAAATCTCTACCATCCATGAAGAATTCACAAAAATCACTTCACCCTGAAGTTAGCACTGAAGACAGACTACAGAAGGACGATGAAAGCTACTGTACAATTGACCTATCCAAGCGGAGACATCAAAACTTAAGGATTACCGACCAAGGAAAGTACTTCAACAAAACAACATTGAATACAATACACTGTGAAAAAATATTTATACAATAATTATGCATGGGAAAAGCTTTGAAAACATTTTAAAAAAATATCTTACTTGATTCATCATTGAAATACCATATCATAAGACGATAATCTGCCAGCAAGACATATAACTCTTTCCTATCCGTTGGTACAAAACCCATGCCTACAGCAGGACAACCAAAATGAGCCATTGAATAAGTGTCGATTGGAGTGAATCTACAACAGATGCATATATAATATTATGGCATTAAGGCATAAAAAAAGACAAATGTACAATCAAGACTGACTTCATTTTTACAATTGACCTATTTGTGATAAACTATGGCCTGCGGTTTTTTAGCAACCCTGAGCTCGTTGTATCTCAATAGCTTACACATGCACACAATGATAAGTTTTATTGTCATAGTGATGTTTAGAGTTAAATTATTGTCCGTGATTACATCAATGCTATTGAAGTTGTTTCCTAATTCACATTTCTAAGATATGTTTCGTCCTAGTTCGGAACTCTTCAGTAGTACGCACCCATGAAGCCAACGAGAGGCATTATAGTGGCAATCTGAGGGCTGTTTCTTCTGAATATTTCACGCCGACTGGTATCAACGTGGAACTTTGCACAGATGTGCAGAAGTTCCAGTTGCCAAAACTCTCCATGTAGCAAACACAGCAAGAGAAGAGAGTCAAGAGAGATAATAAACAGAATTGTGAGGGAATAAGAGGAGTTAATAATATGGAAGAACAATCGAGATCTATTGGATATAAAAAATCACAAAGAGTGAGTGAATGCATCTACGCCAGCCATTGGAAACGATTTCGGGCCATATCATCAATTGTCTCCGGCGTTCATTGGTTCTCACCGTCATCGTGAGGACCCTAACCAGTCAGTTAGGAAGTCTACACCTCTCTACGTGACTGGCTAGCTGACTTAAACTAACTGTTATGGATTTCATTGACTGATTAAGCCATGTTTTGGTTTGACCACCAACCACTAGTTCTTTTCCATAGACCTGATCCATCCTGTGTCGGCAAATGACATTGCCCGTTGTCGAGGAAAGCGATGGCTAGACATACTTAACACATGTCCTAATTATATCAATCAATGTAACTTCACAACTTCGTCTCACTCACAGCTATAAAAAGAGGACGGAAATAACTGCTGAGCAATAGTGAGGTAGTTAATCTGAGACGTAGCATTAATCCATGAACTCTTCGAAGCCTGTGCTAGTTTACGCCGTGTAGACAAGTGTGTGTTGGTGGTCCAGTGGTTAGGACGCTCGCCGATCATGCACATGGTCCAGGGTTCGATCCCCGGCCACGGACGCAATCCCTTACCTCACTAAGCCAGAAAGAGAAGCTGGTAAAGAGGAAAGGTTGGGCATGAGGCTAGCAATCCCATCCTGTAAAGACAAACACTGCTGCATAAACTTCGAGCCTCTATGTTCCACTGGGAACGTGAAGGAATAAAAAAGGCAAGTGTGTTTACACTATTCAACTGGCGTTGTCAAGACGCTAAGAACCAATGGCTGGAGAGTGTTGGTAGCACGATTCAGAAAGTGTTCTCAATAGCGCAAATCATCATAGTCACAATGAATGTGCTATTTCACTGAAAGTTCGTAAAAAGGAAACAGACATAAAAGTAGTATGTACACAAGTAGCAATATAAATTTGCACAAAAAACTCCATAAGAAAACAAAAACAAAAACAGGTACATTCACTAAAAACCAATAATTGCATCACTTACTTTGCCAATTCTCGCGCCTTAACAATCGCGTCATCCTTCATACCATCTTTTTCAATATCATCAGCTTTCCGACACTGCCACCAGGTAAGACGAGACTGGTTATCGAAACCCAATTTGTCAGACGACGTCCTTAAGCATTCATAGGTGACAAGCCAGGTGAATTCAGCTTCACTAGCTAACTGAGCGGTTAGTAAAACCTCAGAATACATGACTGGCAGTTTGGAAGTGTTCAGTCTGACCACATGATTCTGATTGGTTATATCTATCTGTAATTGAAAAAAGTGTATCATCGATAACTTTGTGTATTACAATTACAATCAGCAAATTATACACTTGAATAAAATAAAAGGGAAAGGAAAGGGAACTCTCTGTGACTACTGTACAAATCGGTTGAAAGAATGAAAATCTTTTGGTCTGACATCAAATGGTTTACAGGGATTTGATTGATTTAAAGTTTGCCCACGAACTGACTTTAGTTATTAAGGATGAAACAGGGAGTAATGCATAGCTGTTTCGTCCCTTATTTGGGACTCTTCAGCGATACGCGCCCATGACCTTCAGGTTACATAAGGCGAGCTCCTAGGTCGTTCAGCCACTGAGACGGAATCCAATGGTCAATACAACAATTCGAACGTCTACTACTCCGCAACAGATATAGTGCGTAACCCATAGCCAGTATCACCGAATAGTCCTGCCATTATTGATTTGGGTAGATTAAGGTCGATCTATGAAATCTCTCCCGTATTCCTCCATTGCTGCCCACTATCAACCAAAGAATATGAAGCACAGAAGTAGAGAACCTCTCGGTACGTTTCGTACACATGCAAGGCTTTTACCAACGGTAAGTTCAAAGCACTTTCATGACGGGAAACAGAGTTGCAGTCTCAAATCACTGACCGAGTAATGAAATTTTACATTATCCTTGACAGACGACTTATATTTGTGTAAATCAATAGCAAGTAATTATTGTTATTATCATCCCGAGGGGAACATACAACTTCAACAACACATCTCAACTTTGTTCTATTTTCTGCTGTCCTCTTCAACTGGGCCCACGATTGCCCACAATCTCTCATCACCTCTTTACCACACGACCTCCTCCATATCACCCTCGCACTGACGACCTATCCATTAAGGTTCCACTCGATCAATGGCCTGCACTGCGCGCAATGTCACTCGATGGCCTCTTCAACGTATGCCCAACCAATTCATCTCCATTTTCCCCTATATAATTGTTGAGCAATTGGCTCTTGCATGTTGCTTTGTTTCCAGCCAGGGTTTCTTGTTGCTAATTCTTTCCACCGGTCAGCTATTTTATCTTCATTATGGAGCCAGTGAAGGCAGCTACTGACAAAAGTCTGTGACTTAAGATGCTTTTCGTGACACACAAGCACTGACTGACTGACTTCACATTAGTGTTGTACAGAAACCGAATCTTGTTCTTTATGTTGGCTGAGTGAGTGAAGCAGGAGATTTCCAAACTGGTTTCAGGTTGATGAAGGCGTACGTATCTTACCTTTCCGATTCCGGCTGGCTCACTCTGACATCTTCATCCATTCCACCTGTAGTTGAAACCGTGCTTCCTAGATATGTGAAGGAAGCAACGTCCGTCAAATCTCTCCCGTTGATGGTGATTGGTGCTGGTTGTTGTTGTTACTGTTGGTTGGTTATCCTTATCACCTCCATCTTTTCTATGTTCACTTGGAGTTTTGTCTTCTCTGGTTGCTTCTTCAGCCAGTTTGTTGCAATTCATTAACTACCTACCACCTAAGGAAATGACGCATAATATGCGCATAGAAGAACAGTTGTCCTGATACTAGTTCAATGGGATCTCGTGTATGCGAAATGCTATTTCACGAGAGCAGTCGTTACACGATCACAATATAAGACGGGAGAGATGGGGGGGGTCGGAGGTGTTCTTCACAAAAGTGAAAGGGCGAATAAGAACATCTTGAGCTTACAACCAGACTGGTGGACATACTGGACATACACCTAGGGAACCTGGAGAACCCTGATTCCAAACCTATCGTGTATGTGGGCTGGGCCCCAAGATTCATAAGGATGCGTGGCACAGTGGTTAGGACTCTCGCCGACCATGCACATGGTCCGGGGTTCGATCCCCTACCGACGCACACCCGATATCTATGGTCGGCCTGCAAAATTCGGGCTACCGATATCCATGCTGAAAATGCCATACTTGTACTGAAAATACGGTGTGGCATTAAGCTGTAATCAAAATAAAAAGAATAAAAATAAATTAGCGTATGAACTGGAGAGCATGGGAATGTAGCTGGCGACGCCGCTCCCCTGCCTTGTGGATCAAACTTCAAGTCAAACGCTCGCGTGGGGTGACCCCCTTAAGACAACCACCATTTGCTTTGATGTTTATGAGGCGTTCAGGTAGTATCCCAGCCCTTGCACACAAAAACTATGAGATTTCATGTGGCGCATCTTTTGGTGCCCATAACGGTGTACCATGTTTGTGTTCTAATAAGTAAATACTAATTTTAAGTTGGGGGGAGGAATCAAATAAACCTACTTTTTGAGCATTTCTCTCATTATCATTAATATCGATCAGCTGTAATTTGCCGCTGCCACCATTCGTCAAGACCAACGTGGGAATCGATGCAGCCGGCTGAGCTCCAAAAGCGACGGCACCAGTTGAACGCATAAAGTTATTCTCCAAGATGAATAAATTTTTAGGCAATAAAAATTCAGGCATTTGAACCCAACGTCTAGGCAATTGCATAAAGCCTTGTTTATGATAGACCAAGGTGAAGGCGCTGTTCAATATGTGAAATGCTGTTCAAAAAATAAAAATAACAAAGAGATAAAATTTAGAAAAGATATAATTCATTTCTTTTTTTCAAGTTTGACCACCTACTGATATCATTTAGAGAGCTATCGGTGTAAATCAGTGTCACAGCGGTAGAATGCTCGTCGGCCATGCATGTGGTCCGGGGTCCGATAACCGACTACGGACGCACTCCTTTACCTCGCTAAGCCAGTAAATAATAAGACTGGTAAAGAGGAAAGGTTGGGTTGGGCATGAGGCTGGCTAGCAACCCCATACCGTAAAAATAAACACCACTGCTACCGAAACTTCAAGCCTCTAGTTTTGAAGCCCTGTGTTCCACTGGGAACATGAAGGAATTTTTTTAAAGCGAGAGAACTATTTAAAACCACCATCAAGGAGTACTGGACAGCTGTTTCGTCAGCCTGGTTTGGTACTCGGCGGTAGTACTCACCCACCACAAGGGTTTGAAACTAGGAACTCCTGGTTATAAGGCAAACTTGTAAACAATGATGGTACCATCTTATTCTGCGTAAACCGTTGTCCCTGGTTCACTCATGTTCATAAAGGGGAATAAATGTATGAAATATATATATATATGTGTCGGTGGTGCACTGGTAGAATACTTGCACCAACCACACTACATGTGGTCAGAAGCCTGATCTCTTACCGACGCACTGCTCTAACAGCCTCGTTTAGCCAGTAGTGAGTCCGGAAAAGGAAGCTTGAGACTGAGCAACCCCATTCGGTAAAAAAGAATAGCACCACTGCTGCTGGAACCTTAGAGCTCAAGCTTGAAGTCTTATGTTCTACTCTGAACGCTAGTCGGTTATCACGCCTACTAAGTCAGAGATGGCGTAAGTTGGCGGGCAAATGCCAAACCAGCCTTCTGTATCCGTGTTGAAATTTCGTCAGCGATCAACCCATCGGGGCTGGTTGATGCAACTTCCTAAAAAAGTGTCAACACTCTACCACATTACCAACCTGCTAACCATTCTCAGGCATTGCGTTCGAACTCACTGACCTATGAATTCTAACTTCTCCCTTAATTCGCGATACAGCGATACCGCCAACCACTGCTCCATGACATAATGGAGCCCACAGTCACCAAAACTACTTATCGATTGCATTGGTTGGCAGTCGCACTATATCACAAAGTAACTGAAATTAAAATCCATCAGTCAATGAATCCCAAACCCAGTATGGGAATGGTCAGCGGGGTTAACCTTGTAATCTGAAGGTCATGGGTTCTGTACCTCCAATACGATTGGTTGTGGGTGAAGATACTGATAAAGAGTTTCAGACTATGCATGAAGCGCTAAACTGTACTTACAGGCGGTATAAATTGAAAGCCAACCACCACCATCCACCAGTGGCTTCATTTAATGCAAGAAGTGCATACACACAAAGGAGATTTGAAGATCAGAGTAATGTAATGTGAGATGTCTCATAAAATTACATTCATAAATAATGCAGATTTAGATAGAACTCAGTTTTACTTGGAACAGATTTGGCCCATTCATAAAACAATAAAAAGTGGCAGTGATACCTGCTGAGCACTAGTCACGTCACTCACTGCTGACTTACACCCATTACGCAATCAACACCACTCACTCACGAATTCATGCATCATATCGCACACACACACAGATCAGCATTCGCATAGTTACATCATATCATATTGCACACTGACTTCACCTGTCTACCTATCTGCCTGTCTGTCAGCCACGTTATACTCACTCTCAAAACACGCATTGCACACTGACAATATCCCTATCACTCTCTCTCAAGCTCGATCTCTCTGTCTGAAACGCACACACACACACACGCAAACACACACTAAAACTCCTACTCCTACAATATGGAAAACTACACAAACTAGCCAGCCTCACTTGTACTAACATTAACATCACCTTTATCGTTATCATCGAAAGCCTACACATCAGCGTTATTATTATTCGCCTTCCTCTTGTTGCAACTTCTATTGGCAGGTAGGTGCATCACATATTCAATCCTGTTTCCTTCTTCACTCTCAATTCAGAATGTGCCAGAGACTGATTATGAGTTACATAAATATGTTGTGTGAAGGCAAGTGATACTACTACGTTGTGCTCTGGAAAGTGGTAAACTTTTTATTTAACTAGAAATTCTTTCTTTATACGAGGATTTTCGGAGAAAAATAAACTAGAACCAGTACGTAGCTATTATTGTAAAGAACTCAATTATGGATAAAATTTTATTTTGATAAAATCACACAGCGAGACTTTAATTCATCTCATCCGTCGTTGTCTGTAAAAACAGGCTTAGTCAAGTGTCTAACAAACCGATCAATAGCACAAAGTAGTACAATAAAAAACCTAAATGATGAAATGAAACAGATAGAAAAATAGCTAGTTGGTGTTAAACAACTACCCTATAAAATTCACTAGGAAGATCAGAAAGAGGTCAAAAGCAAAGTAAAAAATAATCATGATACTAATAATGATAAGATAAATAAGAAAGAACATAAGGCATCTACAGTAGTTTTACCATATAAGGAGGGGAAATCTGATGCCCTACGTAGGATTCTCAATAAAGCAGGAATTAGGGTGACATTCAAACCCTCCTACAAACTTACTCAGGTAGGACAACCTCTGTAGGCTAAAAGACCCGGTGGACCCAATTAAACAAAATAATATAATTTAGAAAATACCTTGTAATGGCTGTGAGTGAGGTCGACTACAAAGGTAAAAGCAGTAGATCAGGTGTAGTCAGATTATCAGAACATAAGAATTTGGATAAGGCCAGAATTATGACACGAAGATAACTAATTTACAAAAATGAACTCAGCAATCCCACTGAATGCATTAACACACAACCACATAATAGAATGAGTGGGACAGAGTCAAAACCCTAAGAAGTAATACAGGTGAGTGGAGAGAGAGATTGATTACTGAATCCTGGTTCATCGAATAACCTACACTCAACACATGCAATCGAAATGACTCAATGCAAATACCACAGATATGGAAGATATTATCACCACCAGTCAAATCAGAAGAGGATAATAAATAATCGCTAAATTCTATTTCAATTCAAGCACATCACAACATTCTAACAAGTCACTTATTTATTTTGACTATAAGAACACTTGTCTTATTTCCCATCTGATTGTAATCGATCAGTAACACTCATTATTATTTCTGAATGTACATTATCCTATATTACTGATGTTATACCAATATCTAATCGTGAATTCCACTCATGTGTATAAATGAAGCAAGAAAGTTGTGTGAGTGAGTGACTTGATATGACTATGAGGAATAGCAATAAATTGTGCTCGAAACGTGGCTATTATCAGTAAATATTACTTACTGTATAACACCACTGTGTGAATTTATCAAAATAAAATCTTATCCATAATGGAGTTAAACTCTATCACAGTACCCAAGTTTTATACTTATATAAAAAAATGGATTCAGTTGCAAGGCACTTTATTATGCACCCATATATCAGCTACACTTACTGTGTGTCTGCCTCAAGGTGCTGCGAGTGGAGAGGGAGTCGAACTCGGGGACCCACTACGTGAAAGTCAATTTCCATTGTAACTATTATAACGACCAGTTTTTATACATTTTTTACTCTCTAAAATGTCTGTAACTTACAGTTATTCTCTAACGTGATGCTAATTGTATCTTCACAGAAACCACCATAGCTTGAAATCGATGAAATAGGCGAACCAAGATGAGGTAAAAAGCGACACTTTTTTGGACCACCAAAACACTCAGTCATATCCCATTTGAGTAATACACCTTCCAGACCACCAGAAAGCAGATGTGCACCTATTTGATTAAAGTACAAAATTACATTAGATAATAAAATCAATAATTACATGTATAAATCTATACATACAATATACACATTTATGATTTCATGAACGTCATCACCACACGAACTTGTGCGTCGGTGGTGGCACAGTGATAGAATGCTCGCCGACCACACATTTGGTCCGGGGTCCGATACCCGGCCACGGACGCACTCCTTTACCTCGCTAAGTCAGTAAGTAATAAGACCGGTAAAGAGGAAACGTTGGGCTGGGCATGAGGCTGGCTAGCAACCCCATCCCGTAAAAATAAACACTTACTTTATTTTTACTTTACTTCGGCTATCTCCTACGGAAGGATGAGCCGGCTTCATGAACATCTCGAATCATCGCTGCCCAGGCGCGGCGATCTGATGCAAGGTTTTGCGACAGTTTGTAAGAGAGTTCATGAAGTTTCATGGGAATTTGGTACGAGTGATGTCCCCAGAATCGCTCGGCCTTTTGTTTGAGAGTGCAGCTCTAGTCTTTACACAACCAAGTGTGACCTACAAGGCAGTAGGAGTGGAGTAGGAAGTCCACTATCCATTGGTAGCCGGTGACCGGAGTTCGGTTCATATGCCTTTTCGAATGGGGCCAGACATCCAGGACATCCAACAAGCCCTTTGTCCATACGTCTGCCGGTGAGCTCCAGTGAGCTTCATACGCCAGTCGTTGGAGGTTTGGAATCAGGGTTTAGCCATCTCCCCTAGACTGTCATCCAATGAACAGTCAACCCGGTGAAGAGCGTCGGGCATCCGCTTTCGCCCTCTCACTTTGGTGAAAAACACCTCCGCCACGTGAAGGCAGTGAGTAGGACTTCCTCAGGAGAGGCTATGTAAGACGCGCGGTCATATGGGAGCATTTCAAGGGGTGTGCGGAGGGGTGGCCAACCCGCAGAGCAAGGCACCCACCCCCGACCATCCTGAGGCTAAAAGTAAACACCACTGCCACCGAAACTTCAAGCCTATAGTTTGAAGCCCTATGCTCCACTGGGGAAAGTTAAGGAATAAAACAACCAACACGAACTGACTGACTCTTTAATCAATGCAATAACAACTTTGTAAGGGAGGGGGGAGGAGAGGAAGATTACTGACAATTTCTAGTGTGAATAACATTCAGTAGTGATACGCCAAAACGTGTTCTACACAAAATCTCATAGTTTGTACGAGGGTTGGAACACTGCCCAGTTGACCAGAACGAAGCAGGTAGTGTTTGTCATAAAGAGCCAGACCACACACTCCCCTCCCCAAGCCATTGATTTAAAGTCTCATTCAGAAGGTAGTGGAGCACAGTTAGGAGTTGTGTCCTCACGGTTAGCGGTGGCCGAAACAGGTTTACACACCATTCGATAGAGCTTGGATTCTGGATTCCATGAATTCATGAACATAATACGGTTGAAACTAGGGTTTCCAAGCCTCTCTAGAGACGGCCAGACGTTTGCACTCGCTCTTTCATTTTTGTGAGAAACATCTCCGCTGCATGACGGTTGTGAATAGGACTTACCTGGCAGTGTTTATCAAATCAGCGCTATTACGAAGGATTTTGAGGTATATTATCAGCAGTCTTCAACATGTGATTAATTCTAAGCATACCGAAGACTTCACTACATGGCTCAGACTACTAGTCAAATTTGATTCTTTTTCGGCGATGAATAGAGCTCCTAGAAGGGTGATGGCACGTCATGTGTCTCTTAGCCAGCTTAACTGGTGAAGCTTTACAGTGCTGTGTTTGCGAATTTCGCTGGATGTGTCTGTATCTCAGAACCTGTCGAAGGGTAAAGATATGAACAGTACACCATCCTAGTTCGGATGTGAAGCCTTCTCAAGCCATACTTAGGCTACGTACGACTACAGAAATAAGGATATAGGCTGCTAAATTAATCCATCTGATAATCACGACAAAATCTGTTCCATTTTCTTACACGTTGGCATGATCAACAATTATCTACACTAGTGCCATGTCTCACTCACAGCCATAAAGGAGGACTGCTGAGCAGTACACACGTCCTTTGGTCGATAGCCAGCCGGATATCACGTCTACGCCAGAGACGGCGTAAACCGGCATATGCAAGTAAATAACTAAACTGAAGTTAGCGGGGGTAACACACTGATATTACGCGTCACCTCCGTTCTTAGTCGATTCAATTTTATCAGGAGGAAAGAATTGTAATAAAAACCACATTATAACTAAAAATGCATATAAATTGTCATAAGACATCTGTGACAATAAACCTCAAAGAAGTAGCACCAGACACTGGAAACCAGACATTCTGAATTAATTTAATTCAATTTCAAATTTTCCCGTCGATTGACTGCATTGAAGTGTTCGGCCTCAGGTTGATATGTCGGCTCCTTTTGCAGAGAGATGCTTCGACGATGTCTGGTCCATATCTGTAACTTGAAATCAAATGATGGATGGTCACTAGCAGTGGAATCTACCAGGATTCCGCTGCTGACGAAATCTCAGCACGGATACAGAAGGCTAGATTCGCATATGCCAGTTTACGCCGTCTCTGGCTTAGTAGACGTGATATTCGGCTGGCTGTCGACCAAAGGGCGTGTGTACTGCTTAGCAGTCCAATCCGTCCTCCTTTATGGCTGTGAACGAGACATGGCCATTGAGAGTGGAGGACATGAAAAGGCTAGCTGTCTTTGATCATAGAGGCCTGCGTTCTATCTCCCATGTGAAGTGGTATAGTAGGGTAAGCAGTACTAAGGTTAGGCGTCGAGTGCTAGGTAAAGAAGGGAAATCAATCGACGAGGTTGTGAAGTTGCATCGACTGAGATGGTTAGGACATGTGTTACGTATGCCTAGTCATCGCTTTCCTCGACGGGCAATGTTACTTGATATACGGTCAGGCTGGAAAAGAGCTAGCGGCGGTCAAACCATAACATGGCATCAGTCAATGAAATCCACAACAGTTAGTTTAAGCCAAGCAGGAAGATTTAGACTTCCTGGTTGGGGTCCTCGGGACGATAAACACTAATGGCTGGAGACAATTGGTGATATGGCTCAAAATCGTTCTCAATGGCTAGCGCAGATGCATCCACTCCTTGTGACTCATGATTTCCAATGAAACTATATTGTTTTTCGTGATTACTGTTCCTTTTGTCTCATATCGCTGTCTACTGTCTCTATTTTGCATTCCTTCTACTTTCTTCTCTTGCTTTGTACGCTACAAGGAGGGAGTATGGTGACTTGAACTACTGCATATCGGTGAAAAGTTCTATGTTGAAAACAGACAGACAAATACATCTACCAGGATGCGTACTTCGTCTTATTTGGGACTTATGGCCCATGTGGTGGTCTAGTCGACAACACTTTGGCGTTTGAAACTATGGGCACTAGGTTTGAGCTTCGGTGGGAACACAATAACTCACTTACTGAGGAATGTGAGCACACCCAGCTGATGACGAGTCCCAAATAGGACGAAATGTGCATCCTGGTGGTTTCCACTGCTAGTCACCATCCACCAATTGTATTCTAAATTAATATTACAGAAATATTTCTAAACAGCAATAACCTACATTTTCATTACATATTTATACATATATATAAAGACAAAATAACACTAGTAACTAACCGCATGAAGTAAAACAAAGACTTGTTACTTCCATACTATGCCAATGAAGTAGGGATCGTTTAACACGAGACGGATGAACTGGATAATAACTGAGTGGACGACCGCCTGCCTTAATTTTCTCCTTGACAATTATTTTCACATCATTAAAAGTATCATTTTCTGGAGGATTGCCTTCTTCAATCCAATTGTCAGAGATAGGATTTAACATTTCTAAATGATTGTCTATCTGAGAGCATAAATCCCACCAGATAAAAATTTCGCCAACAGCATTCCCCGTAGCAAGGATACAATCGTTTGGATGAGCTGCGATACATGTGTATTTCTTTTTTTCTGTATGCTCCTTAGAAGATGGAAGTGGGTACCTTGTGGAAAAAAAGACAAATTCAATTTACATAGTAATTGGAAGAGCAAATTATTAGTGATAATTATACAACGGGGCTACGAAGCAAACACTTGCCACCTAAGTGGTCCGATACTTGGATAGTGGAAATTACAGTAAGTCCAATTTAAAAGCTTCATGAAATACCGTATTAAGTGGTAATAATAATGTGAGCAATATTGAGATTAGGTATCGTTCGAGTGCTAAGTAGGTGGGAGAGGATATCAATCAACGAGGTTGTGATGTTACAACGATTGAGAGAAATGGTTAGGACATCTGTTACGCATAGTTGCCTAGTTATTGCCTTCCTCGACAACGGACAATGTTAGCTCATATAGGATCGGTCAGGTTGGAAAAGAGCTAGCACATGGTGGTCAAACCAAAGCATGACTTAATCAGTCAATGAAATCCACAAGTTAATTTAAGACATACACGTAGGGAGGTGCAGAGTTCCTGATAGGTTAGAGTCCCCGGGGTAGTAAACACCAGAGGTTGGAGACAATTGGTGATGTGATTCAAAATCGTTTTTAATGGCTAGCGTAGATGCATTCACTCACTCTTTGGTGATTTATCATATCCAATAAAACTCTACTGTTCTTCCATATTGCTATTCTTTTTCCTTCACATTTCCCTTTATCATTTCTCTGTTGAATCTCTGTTGACTCTCGGTTCTTGCTTTGTTTGCTACATGGAGGGAGTGTGGCAACTCGAACTGGTGTACGTCTGTGCAAAGTTCTAGGTTGGAACCAGTTGCTCAGTCAGTCAGTTAATCAAGAAATGCTTCCCACTGAGACTTGAACAAAGCAAGAACAACCAATATGAAAGGATAATATGTGCTCAACTGCTTATAACCTAAACAGTAGGTATATTTATCACAAAAAGTTTTGAACACCTATCACAAAGTGTCAAGAACTGAGTTTTATGATCCAAATGTAATATATATCATAAGCGACTTATTATTATTGCCTTGGGTTCCGAGCGGAACATAGGTCTTCAACAACACATTTCCATTTTTCAAGTACCAAGGACCTTCTGGTTACAAGGTTAGCGAGCTCGTAGACCATTAAGCCACTGGGACCCGATCCAATGGCCTATCTCCAGCTTGTTCTATTCTCTGATGTCCGCTTCAAATGGTTCCACGACTGCCCATTATCTCATCTTCTCCAAACCACACGATCTCTATGTTACCCTCGCACTGATAACCCACTCGTCGCTCCCCATTCGAATTCCACTTGAGTGATGGCCTCGCGTACGATTTCATTCGACGGTCTCCTCAAAGTATGTCCGACCAATATATTTCCATTTTCTCCCACATAATAGTTGAGCAATCAGCTGTTGCTTGTTGGTTTGTTTCACTGAAGAGTTTCTTCTAGCTAATTTTTTGTGACCAGCCGGCTGGCCATTTGATAAAAGTCTGCAACCTGTTGGAAAAGCTTTTCATGCAATACACGCAGAGCAAGTTTCTAACCCGTATAGAAGAACTGACTAACTGACTTCACACTTATGTCGAACAGAATCCGAATGTTGTTCTTTAAGCTGGCTGAGTGAATCAGAAGATTTCCAAACTAGTTTCAGGTTGATGAAGACGAATCTTGCCTTTCCGATTCTGGTTGGCTACCTGACTTTGACATCTTCATCCGTTGTATCCGTCTGTTGTTGAAACCGTGCTTACCGACTGGATAAGTGAAGGAGGTAACCTCTGTCACATCTCTCCCATTTAAGGTGATCGGTTGTTGGAAATTCTATGGTATAATATCCCATAAACTCGCATTGTTCTTCCGTATTACTACTCTCTTTGCCTTACACTTCTGTTTATCGTCTCTCTTGAACCTCTGTTAACTCTCTCCTCTTGCTTTGTGTGCTACATGGACATGAAGTGCGGCAACTCGAACTGCTGCACATCTGCGCAAAGTTCTACGTTGAAATCAGTCAGTTAGTCATTTTGGTCAATCCAGTCAACGGTTTATCACTGTCATTCAGGAATGATGGGAATCGTTAGAATTAAATTCTGTTGAAAAGATTGACAATTTATAGAATAACTTAAAGTGCATTATTGAAAAGTGTGGATAGAAAACATAATTAACCACAAATATTGTCACTATAGTAGACTGCGTAACTATCAGCATGTTTTACAACCTTATCAAGAATTAAGGGAAATAAGCGGCATCTCGATGAAAAGCAACAAAAAATATTAAAGACTAACCGACATGACAAGAATTGCATAACTCTATCCTGTTCGAATATAATCATCAAGACAACGCACACAATTAACAGCTGTTTCAAGCATCTGATACCGATCACTTCAGAAAAACGTAATAGGCCGGGTTTTTGTGAATAGGTTACTTCGAATGATATTCAAGCGTTGGTTTGCAGGAATTTGATTGGTTACATTATTTCATAATGAGCTGAATATCAGTCTGATGCTCACTAGTGACTGGTCCTATTTAGGTAGGTAGTTACCTAGGTTATAGTGGGAAGTTGTAACGAGTAGGGCACAGCAGGTCGGGCGTGAAGACAAATACTAGCCAGCGATGACGTTGGCTAGTGCCAGTCGCGCCATATCATCATGGATTGGTAGGAGTTGGAATTCATGAGCTGGCCACTGGATCGAGCGGGACCCAGTGGCTTAATAGTCTACAAGCTCGCTAGCCTTGTAACCCGGAGATTTTGGGCTTGGACCCCCGCTGGATGCGTACTGCTGAGTCCCAAACTAGGCTGATGAAACAGCTGTCCAGTACTCCCAGGTTTTCAAATACTTTAAATGACTTAATACTGTTCATAATAGGCCTAGTGTCCACCAGATGACGTACAACTGCACTAATATAATACATTTGGATCCTTTAGTCGTAAATTCTTTGCGATATGTTTAGAAATTCGAGCGATAATTCCTCCCTGTTCTTGGTATGTGCTTTGAAAAGTAATATACAAAATGGTCGGAGGTGACACGACTGACTGACTGGTTTCAACATAGAACTTTGCACAGATGTGCAGCAGTTCGAGTTGCCACACTCCCTCCATGTAGCACACAAAGCAAGAGAAGAGAGTTAACAGAGGTTCAAGATAGATGATAAACAGAAGTGTGAGGGAAAACGAATAGTAGTAATATGAAAGAACAATAGAGTACTTTGATTGGATATGACAAATCACAAAGAGTGAGTGAATGCATCTGCACCAGCCATTGAGAACGATTTTGAGCTATATCGCTAATTGTCTCCAACCTTCATTGGTTCTTAGAATCCCATGACTCCAACCAGCCAGTCAAGAAGTCTACACGTCCCTACATAGTTGGCTGGCTTAAACTGACTGTTATGGATTTTATTGACTGATGAAGCCATGTTTTAGTTTGATCACCACTAGATCTTTTCTAACCTGATCCTATGTCACACGAGATAGGAGTTTGTGTACTTCAAATTGTCATATATATATAACCTTTAGTGAAGTGTTTCATCTACTAACAATATCATCACACTGAAAAGCAAGTTGCACTGAGCTCCACTTTTTCTATACTGTTCATAGATTACTTAATATCATCCTATAACATTGCTGAAAACTATGATATATAAGCAGACTCCTTCATTATAGATAGACTTTATTTTGATAAATCGCACAGTGTTGTACAGTAATATTAACTGACGACGTTTCGAGCACAAATCATTGCCGCTCATAATCATATCAAGGCACCACTCACACAACGTTTTTGCTTCATTCATATACATGAGTAAAAATTGATGATAAGACATTTGAATAAAACTTAATATAGGATAATGTACATTCAGAAATAATAATATTAGTGTTATCAGTCAAGTACAATCAGATGGGAAATAAAATGTTTTTATAGTAAAATAAATAATAAACTTCTTAGAATGTTATAATGTATGTGAATTGAAATAGAATTTTAAGATTATTTATTATTCATTTATTTATTCAAATGTCTAGTTATCAATTTCACTCATGTATATAAATGAAGCAAAAAGTTGACGAGTGACTTGATATGAGATTATGAGGGGCAATAGTTTGTGCTCGAAACGTGGTCATCAGTTAATATTACTGTATAACAACACTGTGTGATTTATCAAAATAAAATCTTATCTACAATGGAGTTATACTCTACCACAGTGCCCAAGTTTTATAATTAAATCAAGCATACTCCTTAACTATTAACTGTTTCTGCCAAGTGCCTATACTACATGCTTCAACCATAGATTCACAAGTCATCAGTACACGGATATAAGAAAGTAAACCTAACCTTGATGGTTTATACCATCTACAGGTAAGATATCCCAATGTTTATTGAACGCTAACCGCGCTATACAGGTGTGTGTAAAGCTGGAATTCCATTCTAGTGCTTTACAGAAAATAGACTAAGGAAAACAAATCACAACAATGAAAGCTAACTAGGCTGAAACAATGAAAATTAACAGAAATTCTTATTGAGCATGAGATAAAAACATATTCATACAATTAAATTGCATGCTTACATGGCTTATCTATGAAAGTGAAGCTTGACCGTTTTTAATTAGATTTTACTGCCCAATACACGTAATGGTTAAGGGTTGAATTAAACACTACAGTAACAGAAATTTTCGGTAAACCATGCTCCCAATGAAATCTTGGTCTGTTATATTAACTGAGAACTAAATAAGTGTTGGTGAAACCATCTGATGAGATAACTTACCACTGGCAAACTACTACTATGGATACAGTAGATGATGACTGAAAATGCTTTTTTTTTCTCATAAAGTACTGAACGTGATAAATATCTTAAAAGTATTTTTCACTTGAATAGACAAAAAGAAAGGGGCCAAGATAAAGTATAACGACCCAGGAGTCCGAACACTCCAATGACCTTGAACGTATACTATCGTTGGATAACGAGACCGACTACTACTTACAGTGTCACTATGAACGCTGTGCACGAATCGAGGTGCAAATTTCTTCCCGATCACGTTTCTAAGTACTGTTTGAACAATTCATAAATAGCTCGCTAGGGTTACGATTAGTGAATGGGGTTAGGATCAAGATAAGGATTAGAATCAGAGTTATGATTAGGGTTAGGATTAAAGTTAGGATCAGGGTTACAATTACGAGTAGGTTTGGAAATGGTATCATTTATCTTTATTATCTGCATTTTCCTAGTAAATAGTTGTCGATCCTCTTACTGGAACCCATACTAACTGAATAGGGGTTTTTCTGGGGAAGACCGAAAAACAGGATAACAGAGATATATGGGTCACAATAAGAACTTATCTTCGGTCATCCCCGTGGACTAAAAGACCATGAAAAACCAATAAAAACGGCCCACTTCCACAGAGTATTGTGAATATAAAACCTTATAATAATGAATGTGAAGACGCTTAAATTAGTAAGATATCCCAGATATCTTTTATATGGGAAAATACAACTCGACAAAAACTCTAGCTATAAGTACTACGATGTGAGTGAACTGTATTCAAGTGAAATTGCAAGTACATCCTATGAACACCAATCCTCATCAATAGCTAATAATCTGACGTGTTGGTCAGGTTTGCATTTCACAATGACTAATAATAGTGATTGCGAATAAATTGTATACAGGTTCAAACATGCTAGGAACGACAGATGGATAGAACTAAGATTGTAAACACTTGTTGTCACGGGGTTTATTCCAATAGAAATGCAATTTCCGCGATGAGGCAGCTGAGAAGCATCAACTCTTAACGCGCTCTCAAAAGAAGGCATATAAAGTGATTAGTTTTCTTTTGCGATTCGGAACGACTGCCACTAGTGACTTATTTCTGAATAATGAAATGACATTTAAAGAACAAAAACATCTAAGTCTTCATAGTGCATATCAGCTTATATAAATAATCCAACCTAGTTATAATAATTACCTTACAGAAACATTGAAGTCCATCCAATACACAATAAGTTCGAACTCATGTACACAAGCTACAAAGTCAGGATTCTAAGCGTATATTAGAAAGAAAAACATGATTACTTTATATGTTAATTTGGATCCTTTGGGAAAATTTACAATTTCTACGAAATCCCCAGTCGTACAATCATATGATTTAATGGAATCTAAGCGTAAAAATTATGATGGTAGGAAATTACGTTTATCTTTGAGAGAATGACTTAAAGTGTATCCATGTTCTGTTGGAAAACAAAAGCCAATAGGAAATCGTGTTTCTATATTCTTTAACACATTATTAGTTACGGTCGTTAACCCACCTGAATCTTCTCACAAGTTTTAATGTCCCAGGTTATTACTTTACCATCCAAGCCACTCGAAATTACCTAAAATAGTTAGCTTAAAATAAGAAGCATACATAGTGAGATCTGTGAATATCTGGGACAAGTCCAATAACTGAGTCCCTGTGTCCATTTAGCAGTAAAGTTTTTCCTGTGTGTAGATTGAAGACAACAACAGATTTGTCATTGGAGTACACAATGCACCTTTCTTCTTTTATATACAACGGACTGGAGTTGGTGATAACACCTGATAGTCGAAATGCCCTAATCATGCCGCCAGATTTAAACCGAGCGCTTCCAAGCTCGGCCTTGATATACACCTGTTTCAGTTTCGGTTTTAGAGTTTTAGTTCAGACTCAGCTAATTCTTGTAATATACAACTCTGCAGAGATCTAATTTTCGATCGGGTAACTCTAAACAGCAGCGATCCAAAACGAAACTACCTAATAAATTGATACAATGACCTTAATCAGCTAACCAGGTGAGTTCGTACTAAATAGGAGAAAATATAAGTGCAATGCACGAATTATGTCGCAAATTCCATCAAGAAGTGGTATTTGAGTACTGTCGGGATAATAGGCATATACGAAGTTTGTAGATGTTGAAGAATAATGTCTTTTCAGAAGCATGCGTCCGCTGTACATGGATAAGAGTATAGATATTCTGGCTGTCGTTACCGAAAACCTGTTTGAGGGGATATATCGTTCCATTTTTAGGTTCATGGGTGCTATAGAGCAGTGCCACAAAACAGCATGATACACAGTTATCTGGATGAATTTATGTGCATAAATGGGTTTGGGCTATCACTGAAGACTCCTAGTGGAAATTCAGAGGTTTTCTTAGGACACACATGAAAAAGTTACCCCTTATAACCATTTTTCACACTTCCTTTGATATCTGTAAAGGAGTTTTTCTAAATTGCACACACTGGCTAAGGATCGTTTGACTGGCTGATTGAGGCAATTACTCCTGCCTATTAGGTAGTTTCGTTTGGAGTTACCCGTTACTGAAACAATTCACATGTATATGGATCGTTATATCCTGGACGGAACACCATGTGACCCAACCTACGGTGGTAGTGGATAGCGGCATACACTTCTCATGGATAACCTGAGTACTTGAAGCTCACTCATAGATTAAGATTCAGATTAATTGTTTGAGTATAGAAGGCTTGGAGCCTGTGACAATCCTTTTCTAGTAAATTTCTGTGCTTGTCCAAACCTTCCTTGAATGAATCAGCTGAGGTTGCAGACTTCACTTCTTCTGGAAGTAGGTTCCAGAAGTTTATGACTCGGTGTGAGAACCAGTACTGCACAAGAATATGGTTTCTCCTTGACTTTTGAAATTTCCTGCTGTGTCCTCTAAGGTGTTCCGACCTGGTGGGAAGGAAAAGAGGTAGTCATTATTGAAAATTTTTAACACTGTAATTAAATCTCCTCTCTGTCCACGGTATGATAGGGAGACGAGTTTTAAACTGCCTTGTCTTCTTCGTATGTAAAACTGGACATGCCAATAACCATAAGTGCTGACTTCTTTTGAACCATTTCTATGTGAGTCCCCCTTTAGGCAAGGAATGGCTGCCTGGATACTGTTCTTCAGAGATGTATTTAAGGAGGTGAACATATCTCTGGTGACTTTAATGAAGGCTCTGCAATTTGCCTATAAGGATCTAAAACTACGTGCAGCCATCGCGCGACAGCGTGCTGTAGTTTTTAAGTCGTGACTTACAATGAGACCTAAATCCAAATGAGTCTGAACTGATGGAAGTTTTATCCCCTCTAGTTCCTAGGGGCCGATGATTGCGTGTCCAACGCTTATGGTTGCACATTTCGCTGCACCGGTCGGGAGCATCCATTCTCTGGACCACTCTGACAATTTGTTGAGGTCTTCTTGCAACGTGAGGGTATCACTATCGACCTTCAGCTCTCCAAATTTTAAGTCATCTGCGTATAAAACCATAGGGGAATCGGTGAGCAGAGTTAACTCATTGATAGACAAAATAAATAGGGGAGGTCCGATTACCATGCACTTCGCTACCCACTGCGATCCAGGAGGAAAGTTTCAGGTTGATCCTAACCCTCTGCCTCTTATCTATAAGGAATTCCCCAAGCCAGTTTAGTAACCTGCCCTTGATACCAAGTCTTTCCAACTTCATGAGTAGTCTTTTGAGAGGAACTTTATCGAAGGCTTTGCTGAAGTCTGTGAAGACGACGCCAACGGGTCTTCTGTTATCCCTTGATTTGACCCAGCTTTCTCTTGCAGTGAGGGTATTTGACGGGCATAAGAGGTTTCCTTGGAAGCCATGCTGTACTCCGGACAACAAATTGTTGTTTTCCAGATATGCCATGATACTTTTCTTGACGATTCTTCTAAGTATCTTAATTCAAGTGCTGGTGAGACTAATAGGCGTGTTATCTGAAAGGCTTTGTCATGATTCTCCTTCGTGGTGGGGGGTTACTATGGTGTCTCTCCAGTCACGCGAAAACACTCCATTTAGGAGAGGTAGCCCGAAAGTCGTGGTCAGTGGGCCTGTTATGTGAGTTGATAGCTCCCTGAGAAGCCCAGGGTGAAGAAAATCAGGACCCACTGGTTTCTCTGAATCCATTTTCTTTGGGCATTTGAGCAGGATGTCTTATTAGATGTCAACGGAATCCACTCTTTGTTGCTCTGATGCAGCCAGAAGTGATCCAATGGGGAGTGATGACTCCTGTGTAAAGAAATGGGGGAAGCAGTCTTCCACTGCATTTTCTTTTTCTTGATTTTCTTCGACTGTGTCATTGTCAATAGTCAGGTTTGGGACAGCACCGGATGTTTTATTCCTGAAATTCATGTACGAGAAAATTTTCTTAGGTTGTGCCGTTGCGTCTTGAGCCAGATACGCTTCGAACTTTATCCCTGATTGGCAAATTTCTGCAATAGCCTTGCTCCTAGCAGTAGTGTATAGTTTCCTGGTCTCAGGAGTCTCAAGTGTGTTGAACAGGTTCCAGCATTTATATTTACGTCTGAGTAATTTTTGGATCTCTCGGTTTATACAAAGGGGGCAATGTTTCCGACCCTATGGGACGGACTAAGGGATGAAAGATTCATTTACTTGGACGCAAAGTTGTTTTAACTGGTTACATGAGACTTCTACTTGGGATCCTGGGTTTACGCACCAGTTCGCTCGGTCGGCTGTTGAGACGATCGCATTTATATCAGCTTTCCAATAGTTTGGTCGACCCAAGTTTGTGGCCCATGACACTGCTGCTGTGAACTGGAAGATGAGCATGGTGTAATCACAAAGTCATAAGGGAGGATGTTGTATGAAATCCACATCGTCACCATGGAAGAACACTAGGTCCAGGGTTGAAGAGGAGCTTCGTGAGTCATAGCACTTCGGCCTCATGCCATTTTGGACTGCAGCCTGCGAAATGCTAAGTTCCAGCGGTTTATTATCAAATGTGGTCTCTGAATATGGTGTTGTGAGGCTTGTCCAGTAAAGAGCTGGGGCGCTGAAGTCACCAACCACGAGACTCTGACAGAATTTTACGCCGTTCTTTCTGATTTGGTGACACTTTTGCACATGTTTCCGCTGGTCTTCATTTATTGCATTCTACTATATTATCGCATATAACAATGGATCGAAACTCTAAAAAGCGTGTTCTTAGGAACACCAGTAACTTAGGAAATAGCATGGGCTCTTCTACCAACTAATTACCATCCCTTGATTCAGTTGTTATCAGTAGTTAACCTAATGTCAACGGCTCAAAAATGATGCTAACCCATATTTCACAGGTGGAAGATAACTTGTCAGAAAAGACAAAGATATCTAACTTAAACTGCATCATAAACGACATGCAGCCGCAAACAAATGATCTCATGACGAAGTTAGGTCTACTTAACTTCATACCAGAAACTACCTCTCATATTAAAAAGGAACCTGGGGATCTTACCTTCCTAAGACTTTTAATTCAAGGACTGAACCAACTCATACTTACTCGGAAAGCGCTGGAGAATTGGAGAACGCTATGGACTTTTGTTGAGAGAAGTTGTTAAATGACTCGCTTCTAAACAGAACCCTACAGTGTATAATATACCAGGCAATGTGCCTAGTAGTAGCTAAGATCACCTTGGATACATACACGATCATACCACAAAACAGGAGTAGTGTCAGTGCCGAAGTATCGAAGCTCAAAGCGACACTCGCATAATAATAGGTAAACAGGCGACATGTAAAAGTGAAGTGAAACGAAAAAGGAGCATTAACACTGGGATGAATCTCAAAGTTCATGAGAACAATCTTAGGAAATCTGCTGACTATACACATGAAGTAGACGTGGATGTTCCCACTGCCGATAACCTGTAAATATCGATAGGTCACATTCCACTTCAGGGACAGACAAGATAGTCTCACAGTAAAAACCGGAAAAAAGTCCTCAGAACCCAAGCTCCTAGCTCAGACACCCATTTACCTCCCCTGCGATAAGCCCAACAAGCAGTGTCCGGAGATTCCTCATGAAACGCGTAATATGGTTTAACCAACAAGTGGAATGTGTTGACAAGTGTATACGACTAAAATTAGAACCCCTTTGGTTAAGGAGAGTGAAGTGCAACTTATTTCTACTATTCAAAGTCATAAGAAAACACTGTTATAGTAACTCATCCATAACGTGGGAAAATATTAAACCATATCAGCTGCGAAACCACAACTACCTTGTCAAAGTAGCTACCCACAGAAAATCCATTAGGGCAAACTTTTTCACCACTAAATATTGCACTTTTTGGAACCAATTACCATCAAAAATTAGATGTTGTGAAAACCCCAATGGGTTCAAACAGACCCTAGAGAGACACATTAACATGTCCACCCTAGCTTGTCTAAAGGACCACAAATGTTGGTAAAATGGTAAGTAAAAGCTGATCCAGTCTTCAGCTCAATCAGTTACATATAACTCGACTCTACTACTTACGCAGCGAACTTTTAACTAATTTACTGATTTTCTTTTCTGTATAGTCTTCAGTAAGTTATGTTAATATAAGTACTTCTAGAAACAATTATATTAGCAACCACATCTTTTAATATTTTGCATATGTATATACAGTTAATAATACAATGCTATTTTTTGTGTCGAAGTGACTTTACTCAGTCAATAACTATCTTTCCTCATATACTTTTCTAAAATGTATAATTTTGTAACATTTCGCAGTATTTTTAACATTATATAAGTTTAAGGGTTACTTTGCAATGACTGAGGTACACCATATAAAAATCGGTCATGAAAATTTAGCATAACTAGCTCTGTCAACCAGCTGTTTTCTTCAGGATCTCTCCACATAATTTTTTCACT